CATTGCCCGGAACATTGGCCAACATACCTTCAGTGCGGAGCGCGCATACTCGAAAAACGTCACATTCCTTCGGGACAGAGACTGGTTCACAAAAACGAAACGCGCCGCGAAGCTCGGCCGGCCCGTGACGGAAGCGCAAGGGACGGCCATTCCTCGTGACGATTCTTTTTCGTCCGTCACGACGTGACGCGTCCATCCGTCAGGCAGTGTCACGTCACGGGTATCGGGCGCGTCACACGCGCGTCTGCGTCACGGACTGATTCGAATGAGTTGCAAGACGGAAGGCCGAAATAACAGTCGCCATATCCACAATTCTGTATATATCTCTGTGTAAACTTCAAACTGTGACGCATGCACAGCGATTTCACAGACCCGCACGCGTTGCGCAGCGAAACTCAATGTAACAGGGCCTACAAGGCTCACACCAGAGCTCTATCAGGCATTCACGTAACGGTATGTTGCACGTTCCGGATTTAACCGGACAGAGTTATCCGCCCACGTATCGTCCTGCGAGCCGCGGTCAGAGCCGTGGCTGTGGTGCAGCGCAGCGGTCACGGGCGATGTCGAATAACAGCTGACTCACTATCGGAGCCAGGGCGGCCGGCTGAGTACCCAGAGAGTCCGCGGCCCACGCACAGAGACGGTGATAGAGTCGCGGTGAGTCACAGTTCACGGAGATGGCATCACTGAAATTCCGCTGAAACTCAGTCTGCTGCGTGTTGGTGTAAAAAGAAGAAATGAAAAAAGGCCTCAGAAAGAGAATCATTGGATGATGGTTATTCAAATACACAATTTACATCCAGCGGTGTAACTTTCTATATGTATGGGGGTGCAGGTGCACCCCCATCCCTTGAAAGTGCACCCCCATCACGTCAAAGTGCACCCCCATAGGCTAAGCGGCGCCCCACACGCCGCCCGACACCGATAAGCTCTTGAGCTGATGGCGAGGGTGATTTCCCGGCTACATTCCGTCTCGTGACCGGCGTCGTGCTGCTTGCGGGCTTGGGGAAGTGTCCAGTCGTATCGTTCCCCAAAAATGGGTAAAAGGGGCACCCCGGCAAGAACGGGACTTTCTCAGCAAAAGTGGAGCGCCCGAGGCAGAAGTGGGGCACCTCCAACGTAGGTTGGGGTCGTCAAGCATAAGACTGGCGCCCCAGCGGAGGAGAGTCGCCCCCAGTAGGAATGAGGCACCTCAAGCAGAACATGGGTTCGCCCAGTAGAAGCGCGCACTCAGTAGAACACGGGCGACCCCAGCAGGAAGGGGCGCCTCACCAGAAGAAGGGCGCCCCAGCAGAAGAAGGGCACCCCAGCAGAAGGGGGGCGCCCCGCCCCCACCTGAACAGAGATGCCTCCAGCAGAAAAGGAGCGCCCTCAGCACAAGAATGGCTCCCCAGCAGAAAGGGGGCGCCCCACCAGAAGAGGGATGCTTCCAGAAGAAGAGAGGCACTCCAATATAAATGGGGCACCTCAAGCAAAAGTTGGGCTCATCCAGCAGTAGTGGGGAGCCCCCAGCAGAAGAGGAGTACCCCCAGCATAGGGCCGCCCCAGCAGAAAGGGGCGCCACACCAGAAAAAGGCGCCCTACCAGGAGAGGGATGCCTAAGGAAGAGAGGCGCCCCAATACAAAAGGGGCACCTGGAGCAAAAGTTGGGTTCGTCCAGCAGCAGTGGGGCCGGGGGCGCCCCCAGCAGAGGTGGGGCGTCCCCAGCGGAAGTGGGGCATCCCCAGAAGAACAGAGGTCCCCAGCAAAAGAGCAATGCCCCCAACAGACATAACCTAGCACCTTCAGCAGAAGCTGAGCTGGCCGAGCAGAAGAGGGGCGCTCTAGCAGAAGAGCGCGCACCCGCAGAAGAGGGGCGGTTCCACCAGAAGAGGGGCGCCGCCACCAGAAGAGGGGCGCCTCCAGCAGAAGTGGGACAGCCCCGCAAAAGAGGGGCGCCGCCCGCAGAAGGGGGCGCATCCAATAAAAATGGGACACCTGAAGCGGCAGTTGGGCTCGCCGAGCACAAGAAGGGCGCCCTCATTAGAAAAGGTCGAGCGACATAAGCAGAAATTGGGCTCGCCCGGCAGAAAAGGGACGCCTCTAGCAAAAATAGGGCATACCCGGGAAGGGCAATGTCAGACTCCAGCAGAAAAGTGAGACCCCAACAGAGGAGGAGCGCCCATCAGAAGTAAGTCCCGCCGAGCAGAAGAGTGGTGACCTCAACAAGAGAGAGAGGCGACCCCAGCAGTAGAGTAGAAAGGCGCCCAATAAAAAGGTGATTTCAGCAAAAGTGGGTGTCACCAGTCGCCGAGCATAAAAAGGGCACTCCGATTCTATAAAAGGTTGGAATAAAAAGGCAAAATGCAATTTCGTTATAAATTTAATTGATTGATTGATATTTGTGCAAACGAATTTAATGTCATTTCGTAATACCAACCCAACTTTGTACCATTGGACTCTAACATTGGGGTGTTTAGTGTTCATACAATTAAAATTCATTTTATTTCAAAAGTTTTTGTACCTACAAGTAGAAGCCTCGACATCCGTTTATTTGTGCGCCGGTTAGAGGGCCTTGGGTAAATATAAATGAACTGCAATCCCATTTGCAACATCCGACTGTGTTCAAACTAAATCGGAGGAACGCAAAATGGTGATCACTTTTAAGTCTGAATTTCGAAATATACCAACAAAGCATTTTACCGAAATTGAGAGACAAAGGCGCACACGAGGGGGGACACACGGGCCCCTGCCCCCCCCCCCCCCATCCGAAAGGGGGCCATCTCAAATGGTTCTCAAATGGGCCCCTAATCTTAAGACCGCCGAAGACTGTCTAAAATGAGCTGAAATGATGATTAAAAAGACCAGGAGGGCCCAAATCAGACCCCAGAAGGCCCAAATGAGGTTAGGTATACAGTGAAGAATTTAGGCGTACACATGGATAGGCATCTGACATTCGGCAACCACATCGATCACCTCGTCAGAAAATGTACCGGCACTCTGTTAGCTTTAGTCCATGCTAGTCACGTCATACCTCACTCTGTTCTTAATCAAGTCGTGTTGTCGTTAGTTCTGTCAACCATCCGGTACTGTATGTCAATTTATGGAGCTTGCGGCATAATCCAGCTTCATCGCATTCAGAAACTGATAAACTTCAATGCCAGAGTCGTGTGTCGTAAGAAGAAATATGAACACAAAAGTCATGAAACACGTCGTCTAGGATTTCTGACAGCGTCAAAACTAGTCTAGAAAAGGTTAAATCTCTTGTCTGTGATCTCGCTACGAATCATTGTACTGACTTTTTATGTCGATGTGCCTAAATAAATACGCGAATTGACAAAGGGGTGCTGCCCCGCTCATACACATCCGGGCCAACCCGTGACTAGCCTCCTCTTCTAGCTAGCCGGGGTCGGTCGGCCGGCCGGCAGTCAGGCGCTACCCGCGCTGATTTCTGAGGGCCTTGCATCCACGCTTATTAATCGAATATTCTACGTGATTGTAAAGATGGTGATAACTACTCACTGAATCGTATTTGAATGAAACATGCTGCGTAAACAAAAATGGAACATTAAATGCTTTGAAAATTGAACGGGCACTGAAGTAATTGTTTTATCATGCATCGACAGAAGCTAAGTTTCAAGTCAACCGAAAAATAATCGCGTTGGAAAACTTTTCGGCTGGGGCCTGGGGCCCTCCGTCATGGAGGGCCCCAGTTTGCAGGTCGTGCTCCCCCTCCCGTTCAAAAATCCTGTGTGCGGGCCTGTTGAGAGATATGCACCATCTATTCTCCTTGGAAGCGCCCCTATCCTCATTGAAGGTCGCCCCCATCACCAAGTGCACCCCCATCTCAAAAGCAAAAGTTACACCCCTGTTTACATCCCCTACAAACATCGTGAAAAGTTTAAACAACGTTGAAGCTTTGGTTCACAAAACGAATCATACGATCTTTGGAGTAAGAGCATTGCAGTTTTTCATCAAGCACTTCAAATCCTGCTTTGAGATATTCAGGTTGAAATAGCCTGTAAATAGTATCAAGATACAATACTTTGATAAAATATCAACGTGTAACGTTATAAATAAGAAATAAAATCCAAACCACCTGCTGAGTGCTGAGCCGACCTCGTGCAATAGCTCTATTTGATAAGTGTGCGGCTATGGAAACGAAGCCAAACCCGACACCGAAGGAGCCATGTTCGTTGTAAATTTAACAATATCAGACTATTATGTACAGAGGCCCGTATCACCGAGTGACAGTTGGGTTGGCACGGGGCGCCCACGTAACCCTGCGTATCGCTCTGCAATAACGCTGATAGTTTATCGGGTGTAATAAAGCGTCAGACGACAGCGGCCGATCGCAATGTAGCATTATCGCTAATGGAAATCAAAGTTATCTGGGCACACTGTCTGCTGTCCCCCACCCATTCAGGCTATATTCTTGAACAGATTACAGCAAAATCAACATCTTCACATTTTAGGGTCAGTCGCAGTGATAACGGCAGAAGGTAATGGTAATTACTTCGGTCAAGCACCTACGTCTTACGAAAGAAACACACAAGTATAGCAGATCCAACAAGCAAAGAAGAGTACATTTCAAAACGAACGGCTTACTACAAATGCCATTGTTCTAACAATTTTCGTAAAAATGGGAAAAGACTAAAGCGCTCTTGAATGCTTGACGTTAGAACCAACGTCAGCAAACGGACATATTATGGGCATGGAATGTTTCAATTGAGGTTCGTGTTTAAAGAGCACCCGAATGCCGACACGGCTGAATGTTTTTTGCCTGGGTCCACCAATGCTGGAAACATGATACCAGTCCATCACATGCACAACTGTCACAAACAAACCCGGACAAACGGTAGACATCCTGCAAAACTGGAGCACCAGTTTCCCTAAGCCACCTGTCCCGCACGCTGTCCCTGCAAGCGACGGCATAATCCCCGCCTTTGCCGCACAAACACCGCTGGAAACCCTGTCCTCCCAACCACCCCACCACTGCGCGCCTAAGCGCCGGCACCTACCTGATGCAGTAGCTCGAAGCCGTGCTTCTCGGCGATTTGCCGCGCGTGCGACTCATCATGGCCGTCCACGCAGATGGCGAAAGTGTCCGTGTACTCGGCCGACGCGGCCGCCACCAGCGCCGCCAACAGTACGGCTAGCGTGCGCGTCACAGCCGCCATCGCGCGCGCGGCGCCTCACAGCCTCTGTCCGCCCTCCGCACCGCACCGCGCGCTCAGAGTCACCGGTTGAGTGTCTACCTCCGCATCGTCCGCCTGGAGACACAGCAGTCCACCGTCCGGTCAGAGTCCGCACCGGGAAGCGCGGCAGACAGCGGCGACACACAGTCAGTCGGACACGGACCAGGATCTAACGTACCCGGATCGAACGGCGCCGCGGGACGACCTACCCCGACGCTCTCCGCCGCTCGACTGCGGTCGCCGGCCGGCACCAACCGCCCGGCAGCGAAGGCGGGGGCGGGGGTGGGGTGGGGAGGGTTCCGGCGGCCGACCGCGGCACTTTCGGTTGTCGTGCGGCGATTAGCGGCGCGGGGCCGGGCCGGCCTTCTCGTGTATTGCGCGGAAAGACCTCGGCTGCGTCTGCCGGCCGCCGCCGGTGCGACGCAAAAACGCAGCACCCAAGGGAGACGACTGCAGGGATATCGGGGCATCTGGGCACCGGTCCGAAACGCACGCAGCAGCGGGAGCGCCGACCCAAGGCTGCGGCTGGACAAAGGAATAATTCGAAGCCTTAACGTTTTTAAACAGAAATACTTTTAAATAGGTACTCGCAAGTGTGCGGAAGTGTTTATCATACCAAAGGAAGCGCAACGCGATTCGTACGCTTCTTGGAGGGCACTTGATTTATCATTTATAATGGTCCTTACAGAGCCCATGTTTGTCCAGTTTTCACTGCGCTTTGGTTAGATCGATGCATGACAACCACAACTAGGTACCCTATGCATTTACGACCTAACGGTGTGTTTTCGGCGTGCTTATAAAAAGGCGGCGAGTTCTTTAGCCTTGGGCGGAGAGGCGGTACCAGACACAACCTTGTTCGCCAAGGTGGTCCGGAGTTGAACCCGATGGGGGTGGAGCTGTGGCACCTACCGATCGGGTGAGGCGTGACCATAAAAACACGACAACCTCGCAACGCTGCGCTTGGCGGTAGTGTTCGTCGGTGCCCACAGATTTTGAAGACACGATGTGTGTAATCTTTGAACAACAGAATAACAACAGTCAATTTAGAAAAAAAAAATGTGACAGCCTGCATACAAATGGTTTGTGAGAGAGGAATTGCTGTCATGTTAAAAGTTAAATACAAATGCATCCAATGCCTCCGTGTGGCCTAGTGGATACTGGATAAAGCGTCCCTTCCCGTAACTCGGTGGCAGTATGGATTAGGTATTTCCATGGTGGTAGCAGGTTCGCAGCCGGGAAGCTCCACATCGTTTGACCAGTGTTTTTACATTCAGCAAGCTGGCAAATACCGAGCGTGCCACGCTAAACTCGGGAGGACCGGGTCGCCATCTACTTGCGATATGTTCAACTTTCGATTTAAATCATCAACAGTGAACGGGACCATGACCCGTGATGTCATTTGCAACAAGCAGCGATCAGCGTGGTACCCGGGCCCCATGTCATCCACTCATCCATTCGGACAAAATTTATTATTAAAAAAGTAACAACCTATATCTTTGATGGCCTCTGATAGTATGGCAAACCCATCAGCTACCTCAATCGAGACTGGACATACTGGCGAATGGCGATACTGGAGAGCTTCATTGGACCACCGCAATGACCTCAGTGGCAGTTTCATTTAGAGCTTTGATGGCTCCACATGTAAAAAATACATCAATGGGATTTGGAGAGTCAGCAAACAAATCAAACCCACAGGTACTTGGTATATATCCAATTTGTATGCAGTGCAGCATACACCTATATGAAGCAGATTAACGTGACCTGAATGAGTCGAGTACTCATCTAACTCATGCAAGATCCAATTCAGGAGCCTATCATTGACATGGGTTAGCTTTAAGGTCAGGTTGGTTGGCTTGGCTTAAGCACCATATCCAATGGACCAAGTGCTAAACTGAACTATCACGCTGTTCCAAGCGGCCAGGTAGCGGCAATCAGCGGCAGCTCTAAGGTCACAGGCCTGACCAGTGACCAGTGACCAGTCAAGAATAAATCTGTTAGAACAAAGAATGTGATCTCTAAACACAACATCGTTAACTGCAAATAATAACGGTGTTTAATGAAAAGTGTGAATGGTGCGCGGCTATGTTTTCATCAGTGTGTCTGTCAGTTCCCGTCGTAATGCCCACTCGTTTGTGGTTGTCGGGTGAAGCGAGAAATAAATGAATAAATAAATAAATAAATAAATAAATAAACGTATTTTCACACCAGCCATTGCAGAGCTATCCACAAGCCGTCAGTTATCTGCACTTGACTGCACCTCCAGCCGAACACCACAGGCCGAGGGGATGGGGCCGGGGGCACTTAAAACCCCTGGATCATCTCTGAAACTGAACATCTGAGCTAGTCTACAAAGAAACAGCCTTTTCAGCAAAGTGCAAGGCATTGCTGATGGAAAGATTTGTACCTATATGTGCAGATGAAGTGCAGATGAAGATGAAGATCAGGTTGGCAAGTTGGCAGGTTGTAGGTTCAAGGTTGTAGGTTTCAGGTTAGTGGGTTGTAGGTTTGTAGGTTCAAGGTTGTAGTTCAGTAGGTACGACTAAGGGTTTGTCAGGTTAGATTCTGTTTTTTATCTTCACCATCCATACTTCATCTACACATTTACTGGATGATCTAGCTGAAACCATCTAGAAGCAATCCCAAAATTTCAATTTAAAATTAAGACAGCAGGTCACAATAAGTAGGGCAAAAGTCATGGCTGAGTTGAGACTAGCACAAATCAGCTTTTACCGCCCAATGATCACCCTGCTGGATGAAGATATTCCATTTCTCTTGCTGTCAAGTGCCTTGTAGAGGAATACGTGTCTTGCTGAGAATTATGCAGCCGCATCATTGTCAGCCTATCGGCATGCTGGTTACAGTCAATAATTCAGCATGTGTAGGTTTGAACTAAGCAATATGAATGGTCAACATGTAATGAGCTTCCGTGTCAAACAATATGTTAAATAGAGTAGGTCTTCTTATATTAAAACATAAAAATAATACTTTTATAAAAAAAAAAGTTTTGTTTAATTTTTTGATCATTTTGAGCATAAAAATTACAAATCCATTAAAAAAACTAGCTTCAGGAAAATGAACATGAATAAAGACAGTGTCAAATTGAAAAATCTAGCCCATTATTGGCTTAATTACTGATTAAGGGTTAATAACAATAAGTCTTTTGCCAGTAATGGCACCACATGGCTTGAATGTAAGATGAAATGAAAAGGACCCACCGTTATCAAATCTTTAGTTGGGGTCATATAGAGCACTGAATCATTTTCAAAGTTGCCAGAAATGCACACATTTCAATTTCGAAATTGAAATTCGACAAAGGTACCTACCTTACCTGTTCGTGCTAGTTTCAGTTAGTTTGATGCGCGATGCCCAGTCTTGACGCCGCTTATATGATTGCCGCTGTTCTCGCAAAGCTCAGTCAGCAAATGTGAATGTCCTCCAAAAATACACAAGAGGTACACAAATGCAAATGCTTACACACAAATAAACTACATTCAAACAAACACATCCACGCAAACATCACAACAACGCGCCACAACGCGCACAGAAACGGTTTGAAGGCCAGTTCATATGATTAATGATAATTCTTGCTTCCATGTGAAAGGCTAGAGATACTGAGCAAAGTCTCAAGACTTTTGCGCGTTAGTGCGCAATAGTGTGGAAATGTGACTTCCATGTCAACATGACAGCCCAAGATTCTTACAGAAACAGCCATAGGATGACAGCTCACTTAGCTCCGTCAAAATACATACAACTCTCAGCATAGCTTCTCCGCTGGAATGCATTAAGATACATCAAATCAAGCAAATTATCTGAGAAAATGAGCATGTCGTATCTAGTTTAATTCCGGCTAGCTCCCACACTTACCTTCTCGACGGCCGAAGTACGGGCAATGTGAGTCAGGTCTATGGAGCTGACACACACGGTCCCCGAACTCGCCCACCAGCCGCTTCCGAGGTCCGAGGAAGACGGCCGTCCAAAATCACACCAACTCCGGAGCGAAGAAGACTTGCTAAGTGGAATGGAGCCATATATCGGCACTTAAACCCCCTGCTCCAACGGTTCCATTTACACCGGCAAATCTAGCATGTCGGAGTTGCCGGGGTAAAACGGGCTTGAGCCAAACCAAATTGCTGGCTTGGGTTCAGTATTTACTGTGGGGTTCAGTTTCTCAGGCAGGCAGATATTTTTCTCATACTCGGTCTAATTGAAATATTTTCTCTGTCAACTATTGCTTCTATCCTGTGGTGTGAATGCACCTTTAAGAAGATTCTTTTTCAAGGTTTGGCATAAAAAGATATTGAAAATATCAGAATGAAAATAATTTTGATGACGCTAATATCATAAAACAATTAAAAATCACATGCTATTTGCCTAATTACTCCCAAAAAACTTCAATCAAACTAAAAAATAATTTTTTATAATATTTCAAAGTTATAACGCTTCTAATTAAAGTTCTTTACAAGAAGACGCCAAAATGCGTCAATGTTATTCCGACATCGACTTTCTTTTGCGTGTCTGTGTCGATAGACTGAAATCGCCGAAATCGCCGTCGAATGTCTCCGGCGTTGGGTGTGTGAGGTGTTTTGGGACGAAATAATTGTTTTATGAATTCAGTAGGCGGAACTATGGTCATGAGTACCCAAATATAGGAACGTTCCCATTTTTGGGAACGGAGTTCCCAAATATGGGAACGGGCGTTCCCATTTATGAGAACGGAAGGCAATTTTTCGGCCGTTCTCCCACTAAAACTCAAAAGTGCATCACGTCTCAAAAAAGTGCACGCTGATTTAAGTATCTACTAAATCTCCATAAAGTTATCTTTAATCTGACCGTGGAACAAGGAAATTGACCGTGGAATGATATTTTTAATGATTTTTTGAAAATGACAGAATGGTGAAAATATGGGTTATACGACATTTAACATGCAATTTTAAGGAAAATGAAGCATTTTTTAGTTTGAGGTAAAGTATAATAATTTTCGCCTGGTTATGAACTTTCATACTATCGACACCAGATGCTGACAAATGCAAGCGAAGACGCGGACGGTCCCGAGGTAGGTAATATTGTTGACTTTTGTGTCGGGGCGGACGACCGCGTGGAACGTGAGTGAATTTACCGAGCTACTGTTGTAAACTCAGTTTAAGCGGTTGAAAATTATCCAGCTGTATTTTATCATCCCGGAAAGACATATTTTATTTGGATGCTAGCTGTTTAGAGTTGTTTTATAAGGAGCGTCATGAGCGTGGTTTTTGTCTTCCGTGTTTCTAAGCGTGATCGTTTTGGGGGAATTTCTCTTATATAGCTCGCTCTGTGTGGCTTATTTATAATTTTTATGCTGATTTCGATAATTCCTCGTGCCCATCCTACCAGGCCTTTTGCCACTTACACTCATCAAGAAAGGAAAAAACTAGATTTTCATTGGGACTAGGTGTTTTGAGGGTGTAACATATTCAGCGTTCCCATTTTTGGATGCTTCCTTGTACTCGTCAACTATCGGTGATAAACAGACAGGTGCTTGACATGTCTCCACCCTCAGCGCGGACGGTGGATATAGGTATGGAAGACCTTGTTGAACATCGCTGAGCGTTGTGAATTACGTAATCCTGCAGAGGGGGGCGTGCCCGCTGCGAGATCGACGGGAATAAAAGCGCAGAAGACCGGGCGAAACATGCGACGGTCTTGCCGGAAAGGTCATCTGATGATTGTTGCGTTAACAATAATTTGCGGCGTTGGACGTGATGCTTGTTAATGAAAAGAGCCCCTGAAAGGCGTCGGTGAAATCGTTCCCAATTTTGGGTACGCCGTTCCCATAATAAGGAACGCTTGCAGCGCCAGTGTACGAGAGCGTTCCCAAATTTGGGCTCGCGGCCCGGATGATGGACTGCTTTAGAAATAGGGGAACGATTTGAAACTACGATGGGCCTTACAATATCAAACTCTTTCCCAACAATATTGAGACAAATATCAGGCGGTTCACGATCGTTTTATATTTTTTGGACGTCATTTAACGGTTCTTTTTCTTGTTTTAAATAATGCCTACATGGCGTTCCCATATTTGGGTTTATCGTTCCCAAACATGGGAACGAAAATGCGTTCCCGAAAATGGGTACGCTTGACCATAGTTCCGCCTACTGAATTGTTGTGAAGTTTGATGCATATTTGGTGAAATTGTTTTTTAAGTGTTGCTTACCATAGCCGGGTGCACAACGACATAAATCAGACTCAAGTCAGTTTTATGTCGTGTACCCGGCTATGGGCTCGATTTTCGCTTATTGGGGCATGTCATTATTGATGTGCTACTATAATCCTTATTTGTATTCAGGTCACAGGTGTGCAACTTGCGAGTGTGCATGGACGAACTGGAACTGGGGTGAGCTCGCTGCTAGCTAGAGCTCCTACTCAAAAGTGCACTAATTGCAATATGACAAATCAGTCGGGGAAACTATGGTAAAATCTGCTATTTTTAGCAGTCTGCTATTTTTAGCAGAAATCTGCTAAAAATGGGTACGCATGTGACGTCATCGTACCCAAATATAGCAGATTTGGGTACGGCCCCATACAAAAGCAGATCTGCACCCTAATTGAAGCAAATGCGCATCAAATGCCTGGCAGATTCATGATTAGAATAGTGCTGAGAATGTCCTCTGATATTTTCATTCAGATCCGACTATTTTCAAATAATGAATTTGAAAATAGTCGGATCTGAACAAAAATAGCAGAGATCACTCTCAGCACTATTCTCATCATGAATCTGCCAGGCATTTGATGCGCATTTGCTTCAATTAGGGTGCAGATCTGCTTTTGTATGGGGCCGTACCCAAATCTGCTATATTTGGGTACGATGACGTCACATGCGTACCCATTTTTAGCAGATTTCTGCTAAAAATAGCAGACTGCTAAAAATAGCAGATTTTACCATAGTTTCCCCGACTGAAATGTTAAATGGGAGGAATGACATTCAGTGCCATTCCACATTTTTGTTAGAGTGCTGTTCGTATGGTTGTTAAACTATTAAATGTGCAACCATCCACTAGTGCAAACAGTAGGCTTGTGTGGCTTGTGCCACAAATTCTTGCATTTTCACACCAGCTAACCCATAGAGCAGGCAAAGTTGACCGAACCCTCTCTCTGTCTCATTCATCTGATTCAAGGTTGAGCAAAATACCTTATTGATTTTGCTAAGAAAAGCCAATGGTACACCCTTTTTTATATTTGTAAAAATGCAAGGAGGGGTGTTTGGACACCCTCCCCTCCCCCTGGGATGAACCATGAAAATCGCCCTTTGCACCTACCTTACGTCTTACAGTACCAGGATTAGTGAGTCTGTGGGTGGTACCTACCCATTCTCATTGAGCTCCTGGTTTTTGGCTTGACCAGGATCAATCAGAATTGGGTGTGGTGTAGCATAAGTGGGACTAGGGTGCACCCAGCCTTGCTTTAAAGCAGTCGATCAATCAGGGGCGCAGACCATCTCAGAGTCCAGAGAGGAGCTGATTTCGGTCATTCACTGCCTGTAAAGTGAATGAGGATCATCACACCCCTGCAGGCTGCTGGAAATGCCCTGACTTTGTATGGGTGTCCATTAGTAACCATGGGCTCAAAATTAAATAAAAACAACTATATTGCAGTGAACTATACATATTGACCTAGAATATTGTACGTACACACAATCAGATTATACCTATTGCAGTTATAGTCATAGTCATAGAGGTAAAACAATATGTTCTACAGTGGCATAGCTAAATGGTTTGCATGCTCCATATATCTAATGCATGTTTTGCAACACAATATTGATAACTTACAGTGCATTTTTGTGTGCCCTCAGGCCTGTTGAAGCTCCAAAGTGGTAACATTGTTGAGGATTCTTTATTTTGAATTGGTTACTGAAGTACAAAAATGGATAATGAGACCAAGAAAACCAGCAGCTTCCCAGACCTTGATGGAAAGGTTATTATAAAGGTAAGAAATGCATTCATCTACATACTTATACTTATACTTATACTTATAAATCGCGGAATTTAGAAAGGCCACTTGGCCTCTGGGATTCAGTCTTGTCGAGCTGTTTGTCTGTATTGTGTGATGTTTCAGTCGTATGGGTGAGTCATTTGCATGAAGCGTGCCCAGTGACTGTCGAGCCTGGCCTTGAATGAGTCGACTGAAGGCGCATCAACAACAGTCGATGGCAGCGAATTCCAGTCGTTCACGACTCTCACGCTGAACGCGTTTCGTCTGACTCTCGAGTTGGTCCTGGACTTGGAAAGCTTCCATGTGTGTCCACGGGTCCGGGACGTCGCTGCTCGCGTAAAGAACTTGGACGCGTCAACGTCAACTCCCCCGTGGAGCACTTGGTAGACCGTTATCATATCGCCGCGGCGACGACGGTAGTAGAGAGACGGCAGGTTAAGTGTCTGGAGCCTCGCCTCGTAGGGGAGTTCGCGGATGCTGGCGACGAGCTTTGTGGCTCTCCTTTGGACCCTTTCAATCCGCTTCTGGTCCGCTCTGTTGAATGGCCCCCAGACCGCGTTGGCATACTCCAGATGGGGACGGACCATTGTCCGGAAGAGCAGTGGCAACGTGGTTTCGTCGATGACGCAGAAGGATCGCCGAATGACTGCTAGGATGTGGGAAGCCTTGGAGATGGCGGCCGCCGCCTGCTCTCGGAATTTCAGCTGGTGGTCCATCTGCACCCCCAGATCCTTTTCCACCAAAACTTGTACGAGCTCGGTGCCTCCCATGTGATACCCCTGCCTGTCGTCTTGGCGACCCAAGTGCAGGGAAACACATTTAGCGCGATTGAATGGGAGTTGCCAACGATCCGACCACTCAATGAGTGCATCCAGGTCTCTCTGGAGTGTTTGGGCGTCTGAAACCTGGCTGACACTTCTGTACATCTTCGCGTCGTCGGCAAGCATCTTGATGGTCGACGACACGTGGTCAGGTAAGTCATTTATGTACACCAGGAATAAGAGGGGCCCCAACACGGTTCCCTGAGACACTCCACTGGTGACAGATACATTTATTTGCTCCCCATTTTTCCTAGCAACCCACCAAATTGAAAGTTGAACAGTATGATTTTATCATTTTACTGACAAATTCATGCTGAGGTGCCGAGTTGTCAGTGGTCAAAGCAGCATAGTAAGTGGCTGGAAAGGGAGAGGAGAGTAACCTTCCCTCCTTGGCTTTCCTCTTGGGAATGCTCCCTTACTTCTCAGCAGGGATGTAATTTTATATCTCTTTGTGGAAACAGATGCACCCACAAGACCTGAATTATGCCCCCACAGTGATGAAAATGCACAAGTCTTTTACAAGCGTCCTTTCGAGAGCACGGCGCCCTTCGCATGCTCTAACAGCGTCCCCCTGACTGTCTAACGTTCCTGGATAATATGGCGTTTTTAAACACTCAGCGCCCTTCTGGGAGAATGGTGCCCTTGTCACATCACTGCGCCATTCTCATGGTCTAACGGCGCCCTCCTGACCATCTCGCGCCTTTATGTCTCTGTCCACCGTGCATCTCTCGACTGTTTGGCGCCCTTCTGGCCTCTCGGCGCCCGTGGACCACTTAGCGTTTTCAATCACTCGGCGCCCTTGTGGAAGAGTGGCGCCCCTTGTCATGGTCTCACGGCGCCCTCGTAACCGTCTGGCGCCCCTATGTCCCCACCAACTTAGCAGTTTTTTTTCTAAATAGTCCGCCATCCATTAACAGATGGCCAGGAGTGCCCCCACCGCAGTCCCAGCGACGCACAGAACCTTACGTTAACCCAGAGAACATAAAAAGAACTAGTCGCGGCACTCCCTGCTAAGAAAGTGAAATAAACACAAAAAAAAAACAGAATGATATCATGATACCATGCAAACAGATAAGTAGTCACGCCAAATCCAGCAATGACTGACCGCAGTTAGCACTACTGACTGTTCAACGCCCTTCTGGCCTCTCAGCGCCACTGGACCATATAGCGTTTTCAATTGCTCAACGCCCTTCTAGGAGAATGGCGCCCTTTTCATGGTCTCATGGCGCCCTCATGCGTCCTACTTTTGCTGTCCGCCATGTATCTAAATAGGCGTGTCCTGGGCGTCCAATGGGTCCCAACTGGGGACGCAGTCTTGGGGAGGGTGTGTTGGTGAGATGTGTGCTACGTGCATTTTACAGAAACAAGTGCTACACAGAGACAGTCCTCTCTTTATTTGTTACGTTCTGCTGATTCTGGTTATCCAGTAGTTACGCTGAGTGCTGCAGGTTTTCCTGATCGAACCACTGTTCGCTGAGCCGGTCACTTTCCTTATTGGTCGGTGCCTTTAGTCGTAAACGATCCTTAAATGGTCGTCTGCTTGTCAGGCCTGCCATAACGGTTATTGCTTAATTCCATTGAGGTTGTGACTGGTAGAATCTTCTGTTATGAATATAAAGAGAAAGACAGCCTACTACAATGTATTTCAGTTTAAATAAAATGTCCGAACAAACACAATTGGGGCCAAGCGTAATATGATCCTAACTGTAAGGCAGTATGATCCGTTGTCTTCGTATATCCTTATGGAACCTGGAACATCAGCGGCCGCGATCGAGGTTTGACTCCACTGTAACCCAAATCCCGTGACCCCGACTGTCCGTCTTTCTCACCAGGTCCAGCTGGGAAACGACATCCGTCGTATCCCCATTCACAACGAGGAGATCACTTACGACGAGCTCGTGCTGATGATGCAGCGCGTCTTCCGCGGCAACATCAACAACAACGACGACATCCTCATCAAGTACAAGGACGAAGGTGGGTGACGCCGCCGGCGAATGCCTCGCTGGCAATGCGCCAAAGATTTTAGCGCTTAGGTACTACGGGTCCCATCTGACCGTCTTACATGCGTTTTATGAGGTGAAGGCGTCTTGTGTGATTACCTACGTCATGATGGTTGTGAATCGTATGTATTGAATTACCCGTTTGTGTGTAACGCCAATGGCCTCGCAAATGTCGAATAACTGTTTTTGTCGTGGTACAGACTACAGACGAAGTGATAGGCTATTTCTTCTCCGCCGTTGTCGTGGAGTGAGACTGCTAACATATCACATTGTTCGAAAACTTCTCTCCGGCAGACGTTACGTTATTTGCCCTTTCTCTGACGCCATGTTGGCCGTTTCAGATGGGGACCTTATCACCATTTTCGACAGCTCCGACCTAGCGTTCGCCATCCAGTGCAGCCGAATTCTGAAGATAACGCTGTTCGTCAATGGCCGGCCCGGTCCCATGGAGGGTCAACAGGTAAGAGCCAAGAGTATGCGGGACTGGAGGGACAGACACGGTCTCATTGAGGGCTGGAGAGACAATAATCATCTGCATTGTGCACTGTATACGATCTCGGGGAAGGGTCAGCAGGTACGTAACTACGTACTGAGAGACCGCTGTTGCGTTCTAAGGGAGGGACAAAGGGGTACAGAGGAGCTGCTGGACGCTGAAGGAGGCCCTAGTCAATTACTGACCACCACTGCGCCCTTGCTGCAGTAACAGCTGGTTCGCCGCGTGCTGACCACTCCCCCTCTCCCCTTACTGCAGGTGCAGCTGGTGCGCCGCGAGCTGCGGCAGCTGCGGGAGCGGATCGATCGTCTGCTGGAGTCTCTGGAGAGCCAGGAGCTGAGCGGCAGCCGGCAGCGGCGCGGATCCACCGACAGCTCTCCGCCCAGTACACCGGCCACAAAGCGCTCAGGTTGGATATTCGAGTGTGTCCACGCCGGTCTGGACATGTTCCACTAGCCGGCGCGCTCGGCGGTCGCCAGGCGCTCGGTCGGCGGCGGTAGGCGATGCTTGACGGGTGTTTAGAACTGTTGCTGTCAGTACTGCTGTTCTACTGGCAGATAACAAGAGATACATCAGCCGGGTGGTGGTCCTTTGACAGCAGACCACAGTCCCTGGTGCCTGCTGGCTTTAGACCGACAGAACTCTGCTCGCTCGTGTCTTGTGTCTGTCTCTGTCTCCGGGCTCGAGATCTGGAGTCGTGAGACCCGACACACTCTTCTACCACGCGCTACTATCGCAATAACTGCTGAGTATCTATCTACGAGCCATAGCCGTTCCTTGGCGACTAGTAGCGCCGGTAGACTGCCTAGCCACTCGTCTCTGTGAGATCGGCTTAGCTGGACCGACCGGGACGAGATACGGGCTTCCTGCCGGGTGTGCGCAGCGCGGAGCGACCGTCAGACCAGCGCTCAGGCAGCATGTTTGGGTTGGCCGCGCCCAGGCGGCAGACCATTCGCGAAATGAGGCCTTGACAGGTCTCTGGCGAGCAGCTGGTCACAACTAACTCACGGGTGGGCCCTCTACGGGGCTGCTGTGCGCCTTGTTGGATACTCTAAACGTTAGGAAATTGGTGGGTGAAATGGTTATGACGGAATGTCAACACAAGCTCAGTAGCCAGTCTACCTCTTGGAATCTTATCTATCTAAAAACTGGTTGCCAAAGTCTTTTATCTCCCTTGCCCGGTACACCGTCCCTTCCACTCTACGTACCCCAGCACACCACCCACGCCACCCCCCGGCCGTCGCGCTCGCCTTCCCGCTGCCCCTGTTTCGATCCGTGGCCCGCCCGTGCCGCCGCCGGCCGGCGAGCGGTGCGGGATGCTATTTTGGTCCCCCGTGACCCTGTCCGACTCCGGGGCAGTCTTACCGCTACTGACTCACAAATCACTGGAAAAAAACGCGCTGTTTGTTTGTTCGCCAGGCGTTGGCGCGTGAGGGTAACTGGTGACTGAGATTTAGGCAACTATAACATCAAGTATAAATTCAGGCAGAGATGCTGAATTGGCGCTACCGTTTAGTGCGGAGCTGGTGTCAGAGACTCGGGTTTTTCGGCCGCTGAACCGCTGAATGGCTTCTCTAGTGCGTCACTACACGCCGACTGCTGTCTGAGGCTCTGTGACCGATGGTTCAGCCCGGTCGGGCCAGTCCGCTGCGTACCGCGCCCAACTGGGTCGTACGCCGTGCCTTAGCGTGCGAGTTGGGCTCATTTCCGCTGGCCGTGTGACGTCAGAGACACCGTCCCCTCCCCTCGCCTCCCCCCGCCCCCGCCCCACGCAGTGCGTGACACCTGGACCGGTGCCATCCCCATCCCCTCGCCATAAACACTGCACCAATTGCACAAACAACGGCCGTACTCGCACCTTTCACCAGCCCCGCCACGAGACCTTACCTACCCCGAGACTGGACTCGGTCGGTCCCTCCCGGCCGTCTGATGTGCTTCCTCTTCCCGAGTGTCGCGGCGTTTACAAGAAGGAATGCTGCTGTGTTGTTAGAAAAGATCCACGTAACACGTGTTTGAGCTACATGAACACACCGAGCTAACAGCTCGACATATGTCTAAGGAGCTGTAGGGATCAGAATATTAATGTGCCGCCGCGAATCTAATCGTAGATAAGCTCTAGTCGCATATTCCTAGTCAACTCTGCTGGTTACATGCTCTTATTGGAAGGCGCACGGACAATCTGTATCATTACCGCGTTTGTGGAAAAAGATAGGCCGTGCTGATACACGGCCATCAGCCTGGGCAGTGCGTAGTTGGGGAAGGTGTGCTATGCAATTATTTAACCAATCTGCGTCTTTTATGAAAGAATGCAAGAAACTTGTTCGTAATCGAGTCGGAACATCAATGTTTTGCCCCTCAGTTTTTCGGTACACCGGGTCGTGAATGGGTAATCGCGATTCAATGGATAATCAATAGGCACTGTTATCTTTTTCGCGTGTGAATACCTATAGGTCGTTCAGGGGATTGGGGACCATACAGTCACTTCTGTACTTGCCCTCCGCGACTAGAGAACAATGCAGTATTAGAACTTGAAAGTGGCTTCACAGCGCTTGCCATTCTTGTGTACCGATCTTAACCGAAAGGAAACGTTTGTGTTTGTCGTGTGCCGTACTGTTTTGTCCATAGGTTAAGTATGTATTCGTTAAGCAGCTACATGTGTTTGTTGTATAGCATTACTTTATATGCCTAGTCGTTCGCTTTTCATGCTTAACTCTGTAGCGCCTGTGGTGCTTATGCTAGGACGATTTATAAAGTAGATCTCCCCCTTTGAATGGTGCAGTCTCTCCTGGTATCGATTTTAGGCCCGGTGCGGTGGCATTCATTTAGGGTAGTACGCCCTGGCACATGTGTTTTGCTATCGATCGCGTGCGTTGCCATGTATCCGTCTGTCGCGTGTGCCGCTTTATTTTACTCGGGCTACCATTTCTAGTCTCCGACCGAAGCTATGTATCGTTTTTGTGTGACCCAACCGTTTACGCACCGTCTTGTGTTGTGTCTGTTTTGAGCTCGCTGTCGTGACTGCACCGTCCTGTCTCGTGTATGGCGTCAGTTACTGCGCACGCTGTCGTTTGTTCTCTGTGCGTGTGCGGCTGTCGCTGCTGTCTGTGCTCCGTTTGTGGGTGTCGTGGACAGGGTCCCGCTAGGCGGACCCGGCCGGTGTCTGTGTCTGGGGAGGTCCGCTCAGTGAAGACTGGTGGGTGGTAGGGCGCCCGGTCGCTGGCCCTTCCACCGTGGTCTATTGATCGGGCCTCGGCCCGCCGCCCGCTGCCACCCTGCTCCGGCCGGCCGCTGTCGGGAGGACGACAAATGCCCCCTCGCTCCCCGTATACGTGCGGTACTCGATCGACCCCCGCCACAAGCGCCGTGTCAGTTTCAGCCCGCAACAAACGCCTTCAGTGCGCCAGAGTGTGCTGCGGGTACCGGGCGGTGACCATTTTATACCGCTGTGTTCCTTCGTAGTGGCCGGCCGCTGCCCTGCCTGAATAAACAGCCTCTCGTTTCATAGGATCGCGTTTGCTCGAACTGACATGTAGCCCTTGAGGAGGTCAAAATTGGTGTCTGCGCTACTGGTAAGTGCCGGGCGCGGTGCGCACGTCCCCTGGCTGGCTCTCTGTTCGTCCTCCCTGGCTGTGTCCGTCAGTGGGCCGCATGCTGGCCCGTACCCGACCGCTAACCGAACCACCTCCTCCCCGAGGCCCGTGTGTTGGTTGGAGTGAACGCGATCCTACTGGCCGGCTGGTGGCGGGCGGCGGGCGGCAGCCGGTGCTTAGATCCTGGTAGAACTGGTGGAGTTTGTGAACTAGACTGCTGGTTTGGCGTTATGCACTCCTCGTTCGGTCACCCGCCGCCCTATGCCACGACCGAGCCAAGGTGGAGGGCTGCCTACAAGAGATCGCGGTCCCTCTGCTGCACATTTTCAGCGTTTTGTTACACTGCCGATGTTTTATGGTCTAGTTTAGGTTTCGCTTTTTATTTGTGTGTGGTTTGACGGCGAAGCACCGCTTACGCCGTAGAGTTACACTGACTGCATGCGCGTGATTTTTAGTTGCGTGCTTTTGTTTGTTTAGTTTTATTATGTTGTGTTTCGTCATGCTTAGAGTTCGGTGACTGAACGCTGTGTAGACCTTGTGTTAGGTATATACGACGGAATGCCAAGGTGATGGGCCCGCATTGCACCGCACAATATAAAACAATCTGCACCCGTGCACTTAGTCTCAATAGCAAATCCATCATGAATATGCGTCCAGTAAGATGTTTCCAATCTATCCGCGACAAGTAATATTTCAGTTTTGAGTCGCGTCCCTAGCATACCGAACCCTGACTACGGTAGCTGCTAGCTGAGCTCACTTACCTATCACCTGTGACCCGACTGACCTCTGTGACCGATGTTTCAGAGCCGGCCGGTGACCACCTGCTGCGCGCTCCCCTGCTGGCCGCCGCCCCGAGCGAGTTCGACCCGATCCAACGGGCTGCCGAGCCGCCCTCCGCCGCTGCCGGGCCGACCGGCGCCCAGCCGAACGGGGCCGGGGATGTGGGCAACTACACGGCATCTGGCGAGCAGCCGGTGGTTCAGCAGCCGCAGCCGCTGCAGCCGCCGGCCGACCAGCAGCCGGCAGAGCAGCAGCAGCAGCAGCAGCAGTATCAGCAGCAGGCTGAGCAGTACCAGCCGCCGGCCGACCAGTACCAGCCGCAGCAGCAGCAGCAGCAGCAGCCGGCGGTGTCGGCCGCCGACCCGCAGGGCTACATGGCCCAGCCGCCCCAGTCGCAGTACGGCGGGGCTCCAACCACCCCGGTCAGCCAGCAGTCGACTGGCGGCGAGTCGGAGCAGTACCAGCACCATCAGCAGCACCACCAGCACCAGCAGCAGCACCACCAGCAGGCGCAGCAGCAGGCGCTGCAGCACCAGTACCCGGGCGGCTACCTGAGCGCCGGAGCCCAGCAGCTGATCCAGCAGCAGCGGCTGCCCACGGCCATCACACCGGTCGGCATGGGCGCCGCCATCATCCAGACGCCGGCACACGCCGTCGGACCGTGAGTGACTGTAATGGAGGGGATGACTCAGTTTGTTTAGTACAGTTTGTATGTCTTTAATTACTTGTGCCCGTTCAGTCTTATTTATATAATAATTTTGGTTCATTGATGTTGCGCGCAGATGCTTGTGTAGTTTAGTTGTAGCTGATCTGCTCGTCAGTTTTATTATTTCATCTACCATGATACGGGTACAGAACGAATCATAAGATGCTTTGTGTAGATTGTCCCTCTGCTGCAAGTTTCCGAATACGGTGTTTTTTTTTTCAATACTGAGCACCATAAATCGTTATGGGTTTGGATTCGGTCTTGGCTCGTTACAATCTGTATTCTGATTCCCGGAAGATGCTTAGTAGCTCGAGATTAACAATCTTCCTCCTCTCCCCTCAGGTACCCAGGAGCGGACCTCACCAACGTGGGCCCTCGGCCGCACCATCCGGCCGGCGCCGGGGCCGCCCACCAGTACCCGGCCTACAGCGGAGTGCACGGCGGCGGCGGCAGCGGCGCGGCGCCCGCCTCCTCCGCCGCCAGCCACCACCCTCAGACGGCCGGTGTGGGCGGCGCGTTCCCGCGCGCCGGTTCGCCCAACCCGTACAGCCGCGGCCCGGCCGCCGGCGGGTACGCCCGGCCGGGCGCTGGGTACGGCTACCCGGGCCAGCAGCAGCAGAAGCCCGGTCAGCAGCAGCAGCAGCAGCGGGGCGGTATGGGGGCGCACCAGCAGCAGCAGAGAGCCGGCATGCAGCAGCAGCAGCGGGGGCCGCAGCAGCAGCAGAGGCGCTGAGCGTGCCGGGTAGGCGCGGAGTCGGCGAGGTGCTCGGCCCGAGTGTCGCCCAGCTGAGGTGAGGTGAGGTCCCAGCGGCCGGCCAGCCCCGGCAGCGGAGCTCAGTCGGTGTTTGTCTGTGGAGTGACTCGCTAGAGCCGACTGAGCGACAGACCGGAGGGAGAAATCCCCTCCATCCCCGACATCTTTGTGTGAGGCTTAGTTTCGCTAATGCGCGAACTGTGTGCCGTTGTGATATTTAGTAGCTCCTGGCACCCGGCAAGCGCAGATTGAAACACCAGAACACTAATGGTGTCTTCGAAAAGCTGCCGACGAATTATATTACTCTGCGCTTTTTATTTTTATTTTCGATGTTAGCCATATCGATTGGGGTTCCTTTACATTGAAGCGTAAATGGTTTTATTTGAAGTGCTTGGAAGCGGCTGGCGATGCGCTCAGCCCGTTCCTCCGTTACCGATACGGTGGTCTGTGTGACGGCTATGCACGTTACGCTTTTATCACGGAGCCATGGAAAAGCGCTATATGGCTCTTGGCATTTGGCGTTCCCGGTGTAGTCGTGTGTGCTGTGCCCACGCGCGGAACTTAGTCTGATCCCCATAGTTCACAGTGTATCTAGCCGGGCTCTGCAAACAGACTGTGGGTCCGGGGGCGTTTCGGGAACAAGCGTGAACGATTGTGTGGAATGGTGTGATCAGTACGAAAATCGGCTAATAAATACACATAGAAAACACATCTGTGTTTCTTTTGTTAAGTTTTATTCCCGTAGTCTGCTTAAGTTTAATTTTCTGCTATCCTCAAGAACCACGTCTAAAGCACAATCACATTTCTTTAATTGGACACTTGAACTATTTTTAGCATGGTAGGTGTTGTATGCTATTGTGCAGTCATTCGTCATTGCATAACGATATTGCGGTACGTCTATGTAGTTCAGCAGTTCACGTCTAGTTCTCACAGCCGGATGTTGTTTCTCGTTTCGCTAGTTTTATAGTACTTCAGTCTGCTGACCAGTCCTCAATCACTTCCGTTGCGGCTCGGTAGTCGGGGAGTTGGTGGGGGCGCGGTCTCGCTCTACTCAGCACAACACCTGTGTCTGTACTTGTAGAGCGCGGTACTGCTCCAAATGGGCCGTCGGTACGGCGACTGTCGCACGGTGCAGTGGGAGCAGAGGGCGTGTTTACCACTTACAGTCGAATGTCGATCCGAGCTGTATCAATGGGATTCCCCAAACATTGCTCACTCAGTACCGTTCCAGCCCCATTACCCGACACTGGCGTCTGAACCATACCGGACGCCAACCCACCCCCCCCCCCTCCCCCTCCCTCGATGGCGGCCGGATGACGTCTATGACGACACGGACCCCGGTGCTGACGCAGCCACAGCTCCAGCGTCAGTGGCCGGATCTGACACCACACCGTGAGCTCATTGTTGGCTTCCGAGGTCAGTCGTGGTCACCGCACACCGGGATTTCCTATTCCAGAGGGTGCGCAGGATATTTACGCAAAGGCGATATGAGATACGAGGTCTCACTTACAGTCGTGAAGCCAATATATCAGATGATCTTTGATCGTCTTTGAAATAAGCATTACATGATTGATGAAGTGTGAGTCTGTCGATGAAGTGTAAACATATGGTACAGTGATCTCCGACCCTGTTCGAGCGGCACCTTTGATCTAATCTTCCAGGAAGACCGTCTCGAAAAAAAGTGTTAGGTCGGTGGGCGCCTGGACGCTGGCGTCGCCCCTGCTGCCTCCAAACGCGGGGGGCAGAGTCGACGTAGTGCAAATATTGACAGAGCTTTCCAAACAGGCCCCGCGCCGGCCGTGGATTCGGCTCAGTGGACTGGTGGCGCGCGCGCGTGGTGGACTCTCTCCCTCTCCCTCAGTGCCGGTGTTGGAGACCATGGCGCCGCGCTGGTGGCAGACAATGCTGCTCCTCTCGCTGGTAGTCGTGGAGATACCCGGCTGCTACGGACAGGCCGATGAGGCGGCTGACTTTTATAGAGCTCACCGGGCGACCCGCAGGCACAGGCGGTTCAGAAACGAAACGGGCACCGCGCGACGTGATAGGATTCGTGTGAAGGTGAGCTGGACATCGGCTGCAGAGCTATTCAGAAAACAATTGGTGCTTGAGCCTGATCAGTGATTATGTCGAACCATCGTTACATCGTACGTAAGCCAAGCTCATTCTAAGCGATGCAGTTCATTCGTGAAGAGTACGGCATCTCGTCGGCTGTTACCAACTTACCACCGCCCAAGCGTGCGGTGCACAGGCTGCTGTTTCTCTTCCACTCCGCTGTCCTAACTCATGTGTCGTCTCCACAGAGAGGCAAGCTGAAGATTCCGCTTCACCGTCTGAAGGAGCTGCAGGACATGGATTTTGGCGAGCTGCTGAGCTCACTACGCGGCGCCTCGAACCCGGCGTTCGCCTCGTTTATCGCCGACACGAACACCACTGGCCGGCCGATTGGGGTTGGAACTGGCCTGCTGGGGGCCGCCAGACCCTCCCTACTGGGTAGGTGTCCTCTCTGCGTACTTGGCAGAGCGATCAGGCTCTGTTCCGTCTGTTCCACTCTCCACTGTGCTGGGTAGGGAGATACTAATCGCAGATGCCGTCTTGATCCTACTCTTGGTTAAGTATTTCGTTAAATTTGCCAAGTGACCGTTTGAAACACGTTAAATCGTCCGTTTGCCATTGTAACTATGTGCTAGAGGGCTGTCTCCGTCGATATGCACCACACCATAACTATGTGCTAGAGGGCTGTCTCCGTCGATATGCACCAGGTTTTCACCTGTATTTTTGTATGCCACCGTGTCCCACCCTCGCCCCACTCCTACCCCACCGTTCCGTCCCTCCGGCAGGCTCCAGCTCGTCTCCATTAGCCATGGACCTCCAGGAAGTGGCCTCCGAGCGCCGCAACGTCATCAAGGACGCCGGCTGCCGGCCGCGCAAGGTGCCGGTGCATGTGCCGCCGCCCACCGACCCCTTGGTGGTCTACACACCCTCGTGTGTGCTGCTGCCGCGCTGCTCCGGCTGCTGCGGCCACGAGCTGCTCGAGTGCGTGCCCTCGAAGGTCAAACGGGTCCGCAAAAAGGTCAGTCGGAGACTGGGGTGTGAAGATGTGGGAACGGGAGTGAACTTAAAAACTGGGGATGATGATGTACTCGTAGCATCCGTTTCTTGTAGTCCAAGCTTTACTTGATCGATTCTAAGTCTTTTGCCAAGATAAAAATCACCCTATTCTTCATTGGGGTATAAAAGTGTATGGCCAAATTGGAGGTATTAACTTATCGGCAACCCAATTGATTCGTTGCATCAATGAAGCTTTTAAAGGGAATGTAGATCAATAGAACGTCATGCTCCTTTCTCTTTCTGCAGGTGCTGGCGCTACGATTTGCTGACGATGAGAGCATCTCGCCGGATGGCCAGGAGTCGAGTGTTAAACGCATCGAGATGGAGAAACACGTCGAATGCGAATGCACGTGCAGGGTACGTTCATCGACGTTTGGTTCTTTGTGTTGTGTAACCATCGCAGTTGACGTTTCTTGTTTATGCTCTCTACTGATAAGAAGAATGCTATGTGTCATAAAGCGATGAATGAATGAATGAAGGGTGACGTAACTCACGACGCATTATCGTTTTTAGCTGAACGATTGTACCGTGTCATGCTGCTGCGTAGTCAGTTCTCCAAGTTCAGTAACTCTTAAGGCCTGGCTACACTAGGGTGAAGTCGTATAAGAGTACGCACTTAGTGGATTTCTTGCTCTCATTTGTTTAATATTTGAAAGAAAGAAATCGCAAATAGGGAATATTAAAGTTCATTGAATTAGCCATCAACCCATGGGGCAACGATCGTTCAGCGTAAATGGAAGTGGTCTAAAACTGACATTTTCTGAACCGCTGCAGTTGCGTACTCTTACCATATGGGGTGTGTAAGAGTACGCACGCCAGGCGGGTGGAGTACGCAAGCATATGAACACACACCTATGCAACTTGTACTGTCCAAATGCTTAACTTCAAACTCAGAAGGCATTTAAGTTAATTCTAGTATCCAAAAAGAAAAACATAAAATAAATCTTTTAAGTCTATAAATCAGGAAATATCATGTCGTGTGTTTCTTAAAGAAAATGCACAATCCAAAGGGAGAATAACTCGTATTTGGAAGAATTTTGGGTACGCATCTGCATCACAGTGCTCCATTGATGATATACCTACAAAACAAACGTCATTGAGCGATAGATTAATAATTTTACATTTCTGTATATTCGATTTAATGTATAATTCTGCGTACTCTTACCCTCCTGAACAGTGCGTCCTCTTACCGTACATGCAATTCGCGCACAAAACAACCCCGAAACGTTGTGCAAAACTTCGCAAACAGAATATTACACTGCACAGTATTTCCCCAGATAACCTCACAAGTTTCCCACAACAATCACGGAAATGTACCTTATCTCAACTGCCAAGTATCAAAATTGTTGTACCATACCATAATAATATCATAACGCTCGAAAATAATATTCATCACCTTAAACTCAACAGCGTCGCCGCTCAACGCCCACGTTCCGTTGGTGACAAGCACGCACTGGCCTGGCGGCTTCATGTCACTTCATGAACTCAACAAACCCGCGTTGCTAAGCAACCGAAACAGCTGATGCGTACTCTTATCGCCCGCGTACTCTTACCCGCCCTTACCCTATGCGTTTTCTGCGTGCGTTTTTTGCGAGTTTGCGTGATTTGCGGAATATCGTTCTAGAAAGAAACGACATTACGTTTTTGTTATATGTTTTTCATAAAAACTTTTAATTAACAATAAACATTTTATTAACTTTTATATAAATATTAAAGTAGTTTAATTAATAATAACCTTTTTTCTAAAACGATATTACGCAAAACCCGCAAACACGCAAAAAACGCACGCAGAAAACGCATAGTGTAGCCAGGCCTTTATGTTTGTCGGCTTACTCAAACGGTTTCACTGGGTCCCAAAGCGCACTTGTCATGCAGACCCCGACGGCTGACAGTTTACCGTCGGTACCCAGCTAACAATTTGCCGTTGTTACAACGTCGTTTAAACGTTGTCAAATGGTTACCACAACGTCCCGATTTATCGTTGTGACAACGTAATTTTGTAGACTCCAGACAACGGCGTGACAACGTCATCCGACCATGCATTTGAATGTCATCACAACGTTTCTGTAACGTGGCCGTGACGTCCCAAAACTGTTCTTACAACGTCCCGCCAACGTTATGAAATGTTTTCTGTAACGTACCAACAGTGTTTCTGGAACGTTGTCACCACGTTTCCGCAACGTGACTACAAGGAGTATAGAACGCTTTGGCAACGTCTCTGCGACGTTTTTATCACGTGCGCACCACGTTGTCGCTACTTCGCATTGCCGTCCCTGCGACCCTGAGTAAACGTCCTAAACATTTTCGCAACGCCCTCTCAACGTGTTCGCAACATACTCAGAATGTGTTTCCGACGCTCTCTTCACGTTCTCTAGACTTGTAAAAAAGGCATGTAAGAAGTGTATATTTCAATACATCATACAGGTCAATTTACAACAAACAAACAAAACGACGGCGGCGGCATCGGTGATGGGGCATGGGGCCCAGGGGCGCCCCCATGGGGGCGTGGGACGGAATTGGGTTCTACCGGCTCTGACGCTAGCCGCTAGCACGCCAGAACTGGTGGAAGTTCACTTCTTTACTAACCCTCGCTGGGAGGATCACTCGGCGGACCGTTAGGCACCGGCTCATTTGCGGCCTCGATGTCCCTAGGCAGCTGGCAGTGCCTGACTAGACGGTCTGCGCACCCCCCGTTCCGGTCGCAGCTTCCGGACAGCCACTTCGCTACCGCATTGCCGACAGAAGGCCTGCCGCAAGGCGCGCTGACGAGTTGCAGGACGTCTGCGGGAAGACATGAGGGAAAATCAGACATTCAATTCATGAAAAAATCACAAAAATACCTGCACCACTTTCCGTAACAGTGCGACAGGCTAGATCAAACTGAAACATGTCAAGACCTTAGAGGCTAGAGCTACAATGAACTATAGCCTAGACCGCACGATATTACAAGGCACAATCTTGCAAATGCTACTCGTAAATGGTACTTTGTTTTACCAGTCAAAACAACAATCGTATCAAACGCAGACAACTGGCGCTATCTTTCATCTTCCAGCTATCTCAGCCGCGCCCGCCGCCGGCCCTCACTGCTCGCTCGCGCCGCGTAGACCAGCGTAGACTGCGGCTCGGCCGGCTGGCTCTGAGCGCCGGCCGGTGACACTGACGTCACGGCCCCTCAGGCGAGGTCAGGGCGCGAGCCACCGTTCGCCTGAGTGGCGGCCCGCGTGGCTTGCTGGCAGCCGCGGATAACAGCCGCGTTTACATAGGGATAGTTGCAAGCCTCTAGCTCCGCCTGTGATGTTGCAAAACATGCCAATGACGCTTTGCAATTTACACATGTTATATATATATATATATATATATATATATATATATATATATATATATATTAGAGAGAGATAGGGAGAGAAAGGTATCGGAATTTACTTGAAAAAACACCGCTAATTATTCAGTACCTATAATGTCAAGGTTGTGAAAAACCGTTTTAACAACGTGTTGGCGACCACCAGCTGACAACGTGAACAGTCCAAGTGTTAAAATATGTCAAATTTAACGATGAAAACTGAATATGCGCATTGAAAGTCAAAGGAAATGCATTATATGGCCATATATGTCACCATGCATTATCAAAATATAATGCTGCAAGTGCGCGGTTGCTGCAACGTACCAATAAAACGTTGTCACGACGTTTTACCACGACTTTCGGACCAAACCATGGCTTCACAACGTTCAGAACGTTGCTACAACGTAATTAAAACGTAATTTCGCAACTTACCGAAACACGACGTTGTGACAACGTTGTAGTAACGTTTCCTGTTAGCTGGGTAAACCGCCGTCTCTCTCGTATCCGGCGCTCGACTAACCGCTGGCTGTTTACGGCTCAGGTGAAGGCGTCCAACTGCAGCGTCCGTCAGGTGTATGACGCCGGCAACTGCCGCTGCTTCTGCTCCAATGAACACGAGGCGGCCTCCTGCCCGGGCACCAAGATCTGGTCCGAGACGGACTGCGCGTGCAAGTGCGCCAAGGTGGACGAGTGCTCCACGGGGCTGGAGTTCGACCCGGTCCAGTGCAGGTGAGGAGACTGGTCGGGGACTGGGGTCGGTAGCGAGCGCTGTGTGTATGTTTTTTTTTTCTTGGGACATTTTATCAGTGAAATAGTGTTCAGAACTTCACCAAAGCGGTGGTAGACAGACGATTTCAGTCGATTTCTGCATGCCTTTTGTCATGTGAGCAAGTAGTTGATGTAACCGGTCGTTTAACGTTTTGACGCTAAGTCATATGTGTGAAAGAGCTTTTACTAACACACTAACACGGTAACTACCGATTGGTATCTCTTTTTGCATGCCTGACTATCTTTAAGCGTTATTTTTAACACGCATGCAGCAGTTTCACGGATGCCTCTACCACCTGTACGGGCTGCCGGCCCCTCATATGCGTCTCCGGGGTTCCTGAGACCGGCCGTTCTTTGTTACAGATGCCTGCCGCGGCCAATGCTGCGCTCCTCACCGCCTCTGACGTCCGTCGGCTCAACACCCTCCGGAAACGGCTCCCCACCCTCTCTCCCCGCTCTCTTCCCCGTCGCTCTGTCCCTCTCACTCTCTGTTCTGCGCTTCTAGATGTCTTCCCTCTCCGTCTCGGCTGCCTCTGCGGAGCTCGGCCGTGCAGTCCTCCGGCGGGGGCGCGGCAGCGGCCACCCCGACCGTGCCCGACCGGCGCGGCACCCAGGGCGTCATCAGCAGCGGCGCGTCGTCATCCGGCGGCTGGGGCACGGCCGTCTCCTCTGGGGTCATCGAGGACCGGCCGCCGCCGCCGCGCTCCCGGCCCGCCCAGCCGTCCAACACGTACACGCCGTACCAACCGTCGTACCCCGACCGGCAGTACGACCAAGAGCGTACCTCCTCCCAGTCGGCGGCGCGCCGTTACGACCAGAGCGGTGCCGAGTCCCGCTACTCGGAGCGACGCCCCGGTGGAGCAGGTGGCGCCGGCCAGTATCGCAGTCGATACGAGTCGACGGCGGCCGACCCACGCCGCACAGATAGCCAGTATCAGGGGGCCTACTCGTCCCGCTACCATGGCAGGTGGTACGGGTAAAGCCCCCTGACCACGCCCGCCGCTGAGGCTTCTGATCTATGATCTGAGTATGGTATGGAGGTGTGTGGAGGCTGAATAGTTTTTGAGTGGTTTTATTCTGTGTCGTGTTGCTGCTGCTAAGCTTAGGGAGTAGCGTTGGCAATATCTGTGTAAATATTTCTGCTTATTTTTGCGTTCGTAGGCAAGAGGTACTCCGTACTCGCTTAAGTTTCACAGAGGCGCCATTATGGTACCTTTAGGTTAGGTCGCTCTCATAATTGTTTTCGTTCTCGGATGTTGTGTGCCAATTGGTCATCTTCTGTTCTTTTATGTTGTGCTTGAAATTGCTTTATTTATTTTTTGATATTGAGGGTTTTTCGATATACTTTTATGATCGGAATAATATACATACGTTTTATTTCCATTTGAGCATATGCCCAACGGCCGTGCAATGTTGACATTCAACCGCAGCCTGTTGATTCTGCCTTGTTTTCTTAGCAATCAACGAATTTTTCACACCTATTTACTTATGCGATAGCATGATATTGAAGAGCAAAGTAAGTACTTACAGCTCGTGCATGCCTGCACCTGCAGTTTGTGTCTGTTCGTCAAGGGCCGCATGATCACATTGAGGCCCCGCGATTCACCAGCCACAAGCCGCGACATTCATCAGAGTATTACGACTTATGTACTTACTGCAGAAGCTGGAACCATTTAGAAACAGTGCCTGATCTTAACTAATACCTCAATGCGATGTGCTTGCGTGCGCTCTAATCTTGCATTTTAACCAAGTAGATGGCGACAGAGTACACCTACACAGCACTGCCAGTGGTCTGCTGTGACGTTCTATTCGTAGCTAGACTAATTGCACCTGGGATCCATCATCCATCCCTGCTAAACCGCCATGGCGTCACCTGCTGCCAGCATCCTGTCTCGTCTGGCGTCACTCACAACCACTGGTGCCACTGTACGGGCGCGTCTCGCAGCACAAACCTCTGCTGCAGCCACTGCGGTGGCCAGACCAGCTGCGGTAGGGGCGCCTCTGGCGGCGGCGGCGCCAACTTCCACCTGTCATCGCCGGCCGGTAGGTGGCGGTGAAGTCCGTCGGGTGGCGGCTCGCAGGGCTGCGGCGGGGTGAGCGGGTGGACGCAGAGACCGGGGGCGGGCAGACGACAGTCGCGCTGTTGCCATCCGCCGTGGAGCCAGCTGACAACACACCGACCTGTTCCCGGCTCCCGGTGCCAGTCGGTGTAGGAGGGCGCTGAGCCGTCCGACCATCTGAGGAAACGGCAGGCATGAGCTGGACGGCCTCTGTCGGGGAGGCGTGTGGAACACGTGATTCAGCAGCCTGATCTATCTAAGCGTAGTGATAGGCAAATATATTATCAGTGATGCCTAAAAAGTCAGTCGATGTCACCTGCGAAAGGCATTTGATGCATGCTGCGCCGCGACGCTGTGGGGTACCTACTGCGGCGCAGCATACCCCTCAGTGGACCAGCAGCCCGTCCAATCTAAATCACGAGTTCCCATACCGTTCTTCTGTCGACTCACCTCCACTCCGGCTCTCCGCTGCTCTCACTCTCGTCGTGCAGCCCGATCCAGACCATGGCTCTCCAATGTTTGGTCATCACGGAGCGGGCCGCAGCGTCTTCCTCGGCGCTGGCGACATTCAGCAGCTGCCCACCGAGCGACTGGCACGCCACCTGGACGGCCTCGAAGCTACCATCCGCCACCAGATGGTAGCACCGGTCCGTGCCGAGCGGGTGGAAGCCGGGAGGACAGACGCAGAGTTCGGCGAGGGCGACAGGTGCCAGTGTCGCCCACAGCAGCGCCAACGGTAGTCTGAGAGAGCAGAGAGGCAGAGTCAGTTCTGACTTCTGATTTGTGGAGGGGTGCAGCAGGAGGGTTCGATTCTGAAATGGATACGGGGTAATAAGAGGGCGAATCCGGAGACAGACAGAGGAAGGAGTCAGTCCTGGGACTAGGAGAGACCTAATAAGGACACGTTCAAGTCTGAAACGAGTTGAGGGCTAAGGTCAACTCCGAGAGAGGCAGGGCCGCGGTAGGAGTTTTTAGGTCGGGAGAAGGTAGGTACAAGGGCAGGTTTGAGGCGCTCAGAGAACCAGGGTTAGGCTCATGATACGGCAGGAGGAGCGGGTAAGGCGTCGGACCCAAAGTAGTTAGTGGTAGGCTGGCGAAAGTATACCTACTGAGGGAGTGGATTTGGAACAGGGATAGAGATAGGCCTGGGCAATGGGCATTGACCATTGTCTTGGACGTGACGAGGATTTTAAACACTCCTACGCGGGACAAAATATGGACAGAACTGGACAATGCAAGACGTAGTCATAAATCGTCGCATTGTGCAATGAGCAAAGCTCATTAAAAATTAATCTGATTGGTGACGCATTTGGTGTTACAAATCATAACTTATGAAAGGCTTATGACATCGGCGCCAGCAGTGACTTGACTACGACAAAGCATTATCACTAACCTCATGGTGAAGCTGCCAAAAATGCCGTGCAAGCCTAGCAAGTAGCTCGATGAATGATCCTCTTCTTACGCCGTTCTTTGGCTGATCTCACGCCACACTGCCACGAGAGGCCGATTCGACGGAGTGGCTGATGCACTGAGACATTCGCTGATTTCAACACTTTTCTCGCATGGATATGATCGGAGCAGCTACTGATAAAAAAAAAACGAACGGCGACAGACGACTGACGACTGATGACTGACGATTGACGACAGACGTCTAACGACTGAGCACTGACGACTCAACTCCGAGGACTGACGACTGACGACTGCCGACCGACGCCACGCCACAGACACGAGGAGCCCCAGTAGCTCTCAGATTTCCAAGTGAAGTTAAACAATGGCCAATCCGATGTCTGAAGCTCGTGACTCGGCTCAGGTTAGCTGTGATAAGTGACACCAGCCTCACATTACCCGAGGCGAACCCATAAAAGGGCGCCGGGTGTAAATGGATAGCTACATAGTGCATAGTGCACCTTATTTGGGTAGGTTTCTAGACAACTTACCCAGTTCCCACTGTATGAGTATATGACCGTTGGACGGAGATGCCGTTTCCAGTTCATGGTAGTTCCACAGGTAACAACTGAAGTTAAATTGTGACTATGGTCAGGTCGGGGCCTGGCCTCCAGCTGCGAGGGGATTTATATGCACTAGGCTGGCTTTTGGCGAGGGCGCTAGGCGCGTGCTGTGAAAACAACTATAGGATGTGGAAAAGGTATGTCTACGGATCGCATAAGGCGTATCGAGTCAACAAAGTGCTTCAGAAGAGGCGTTATTATTTGCAAAATTTCAGGTTCGAAGCCGACGCATTGTAAAAAAAAACTTGCGTTTTACATAATTGATTAGTGACCAAATTAAAATTTATGAAGGTGTTACGCCTAGCTCGACTTTTGAAAGACGCAGTACATGATGTTTAGGCATTGGTTAAGAAAATTCATTTAAAAAGCGTGGGATAAATAGGCGCCAACGTATAAAACTCGGGAAAAGGCCCTCTTCAAATTTTTAATGAATCGCATCTAAACGTCTTCTTCTTCGTGCTTTATCTCTGTCAAATAACGCCACTGATCTTCCGTTCAGTACTCGTGATTCTTGATGAACTGGTCTGCCTGGGCGGCGACTCCTTTGCACGAGCCGGACTGGTAGGTGCCCAGTGCTGCCTGGCTGTTGGCTCTGGCCCGGTTCAGCAGCTGCTGCTGGGCCGCGAACACCTGTTCCTTGCGCCCGGCCCACACCCGCAGCACGGACGCCTGCAGCGCGCGGCCGAAACTGAACGTCAGCGCCCAGGGCTTCTTCCCGCGCACCTTGTTGATCTCACAGAGCATCACTGTGGCCTCCTCCTCAGTCATACCTCCGGAGAGGAACGTGATGCCGGGCACGGCGGGCGGCACGCAGCGCATCAGACAGGCGACAGTGGCACGCGCCTGGTCCTCGGCGCGGTACACCAGCCGACTGGTCTTGCCGGCCGTCACCATGTTGGGCTTTAGCAGGGTGCCCTCCAGGTGGATGTGGTGATCGTGCAGCGCCTTGTAGACGAAGGCCAGCACGGTCTCAGTGACCTTTTGGGCTCGCTCCAGGCTGTGGTCGCCGTCAGGTAGGACCTCTGGCTCGACGATCGGCACCAGTCCGTTGGCCTGGCAGATGGAGGCGTAGCGCGCCAGGACGTTGGCGTTCTCCAACATCGCCTGGTAGCTGGGAGTGTTAGGACCAATCCTCAGAACGCAGCGCCACTTGGCGAACTGGCAGCCGTCCTTCTTGTACTGACTGCAGCGCTTGGACAGCTCGTCGAGCCCCTGAGTGGTCTTCTCCGCGTCCGTACCCATCAGCGACACCACGCCTGTGTCCACCTTGATGCCGGGGATCAGCTTCCTCCTGCGCAGCAACTCCATCATGGACTTGCCGTCGGCCGTGGTCTGGTAGACGGTCTCGTGGAAGAGCAGCACCCCAGAGATGTAGTCGGACAGCTCCGCCGGCGCCGTGAAGAGCAACTCTCGGTAATCGCGCCGGTTCTCCTCTGTGTTCTTCACTCCGATACCGTCCAGCCGCTTCCCGATTGTGCTCGTTGATTCGTCCGCGGCCAAAATACCCTTTCCCGGAGCACACACGGCCTGAGCGATTTGCTCGAGCTCGCGCTGAAGCTCGGGAGGAGGGTAGTGGAAGTGCGTGCACATGTCGGAATTTTATGGCCCGGAACGATCGGCAAGAATTTCCCGCGTAATGTTCGGACAATGCGCATAATTTGTCTCGGGAACTACTTTCAATTTTAGCGGGCTTCGCTGAATAAACACTGCCTTTTAGCCTTGATTTTTGTCTGAGTTGATTTGTTTGAAGCTCGAGGCATACTGTAGACTACGCCTCAATCCTCATGGAAATATCCAGGCACGCTCAATACAATGTCCCCGATGCCTACACTCATCTTAAGTTTCCCAGTTTAATGCCGAGGAGTCAACGTTTCCAGGCGAAACGATCATCACTCTTGTTTAAGCTGGTACCGCTATGGCTCCTAATCAGCTGCTTCGTTTTGCACACCCACACGTAATTACCTTTTCAGAATCCAGACACCACGCTGAGATAATAATTCGTGATATGTTAAGCTGACGCCTTCATCTCATCTCCTTTCATTATCCCAAACAGCGCCAAGCCAAAATCAACATGTCGCGCTACGAGGGCCGGGCCGGGCCTTTGTTTTCAGTAAACGTGTCGGAAGTGAGGAGTCTAGCAAGCAGTGGCCCAGAGCCGCCTGCTTTGATGTCCCTATCTATCGTAACGCTCCTCTCGTTAGCGGAGACCCGCCAGGTCGTCCGCTGAGCGCTCCTCAGGGACAGCGCCCAACTCGACAGCGCCGACCGTGCCCGACCACAAAGCCTGCAACGCTCGGTTTAGCGTTCGAGGGTCTAATTAGAAAACAGTTTGAGAACGGTGCTCGAGCCCGTCTGAGCGGCCCCTCTGCCGAGCTAAAGGGGGGCGAACGGCACTTACCATTGGGAGTGCGGTGTTCGCTCCGGCCGCTCTGTTCCGAAAAATTGGACGCTCCTGTCCTAATTGGAGCCGCTTTTGAATTTAAACAAGTGGATGGTTTTTTAATTGGAAAACTTATGAATGCCAGAGAGGAAGCGTTTTGGCAGACGGCACGAATAGATAATGATGTGGAGTTAAAACGAGCTGGAGTCGTGCCGACGCATCTCACTCTGACTTTAAATTGCAGCGGAGTGGAGAGAGAAGTTATGACGGTAGAGCAGTCACGAACGATAGAGAGAGATATAAAAGGAGCTGACAGATGCGTAACTGCAGAAACATTAATTAAACAAGAAGCAAAGCAATAAAACAGCAACAATGTTTTCTGCTCTCTCTCTCTCTCTCTCTCTTTCTCTCTCTCTCTCTCTCTCTCTCTCTCTCTCTCTCTCTCTCTCTCTCTCTTTCTCTCTCTCTCTCTCTCTCTCTCTCTCTCTCTCTCTCTCTCTCTCTCTCTCCCCTCTCTCTCTCTCTCTCTCTCTCTCTCTTCCTATCTCTCTATTGATCTCTTCCCTCTTTCCTCCTATTTCAACGCATTCTTCCCCTTTAGCTCCTTAATTGCTCCCGCTGTTCTTTCTGTATCAAATATTCTACGATCATTATTGCAAAATAATTCATAAAAACCATTAGAGGATCACAGCATAAGCGGATTATGTATGGACTTCATACCGTCATATATGACCTCAAACAAACGACTAATAAACTAAGACACCAAGTTATCCAATTGGTTCGTATAAACGCTGTGCATGTGTTGCTGGCTGTAATAATTTAAGTTTAGGCTCATTATTTGTATCAGCATTTCCTATTGATTTAAAATGGACCAGAGCACGCTTCTGACGGTCCAAAGTGACCAGCAAGGTGACCAGTAAAAAAAGAGAGACGCTGTGACAAAAGAGAGACACTGTGATAGATCTATTTAAAAAATTAAAACTTACTGAAAAAAAAACGCGTAAGTGATCACCGGGCACTGTCGGAAAGGGAAGGCACGGTTAACTCGGTCGTCGTTGTATTTTCGCGGATTTTGCACAAATAATGCCCGTGTCTGGTGCCCAGCTTTATGCGTCAGTCCCTCTCCGCCAGCGGTCCCGGACAGCAGCGGTGACAGGATGAGACGACTGGGGATGGGCGTGGGGCAGCGGGGGCGGCCGGCTCGTTAGACGCGCTTTGAGCCGGCCGGCCAAATTGGCCCCTAACCGGGCCACTCGCAGGGAAAAGCGGTCCAGTTTATATCAATAGGCGCCAATTGGGCCGGCTTTGTGCCGGGGGAGCGCGGTGAATATCGCCGCAAACACCGCTGGGAGAGACTCGGGAGCGGCTCCTCGGAGACCGAGCATAATCCGAGCCGGCAGACGAGACGGGCGCCGGGAGACACGCCGAGCTTCGAGTCATCCTAAATATATATGTAGGTGCTCGTAATGTCAAATACCATGTACAATTTGTGAGAACCAGTAAATAGAAATAGTTATTGTAGCGAATAGGTGTGTCTAAACCGACGTTTTATTTGATGAATAATAAAAATTCATGGCTTTTACCTAAATGCACACACGTACCACTACACGTCACATTTATTAGTCCAAACAGCTGAAGCAAACACATAACAGTAAACAATGTCTCGCTTAAATATCTACAATCTACATTCATGTAGATACTTTACAAGTTACAGACATAGACCTCTCTATAAAGTGCATTAAGGTGTATGGTCTGTATGGTTCAAGTCACTTTAAACCACCTTTTAAAAAGCATACAACCATTTCAGTATGTACAATTCATGTAATGTACAGAATACACAACTACACATTGTATGTCGGGCCTTAGGTACTCTTTATCAGGATGAACAAAACTGTGCTTGTTTTTAACCACTGCTCTGCTTTAGATGAATCGGTACTTTTGGTTGTTAGACATGACTTCTGAATTCGTTACCACCAAGAAAAACTAATCGATTCTGCCTGACTCAGCTCATCTCGAGCTGCATTTCATGGAATGTGATCAAATGTCTACACCCACTCACCAACTTGTTTCACTCTCCACATCTCCACCTGCTTTTTCCATTCTCCGAGGCAACAGGCTCTTATTTAGTTTCATATAGCGAGGAATTACATCCAAATATTATGCCTTACCACTGCACACAAGGTCGAGTGAAAATGAAAATACTGTTTGGGTATTTACCTTGCTAATTTACACAACTGCACTTACTAATTTAGTTCACTTTACGTGTTCATGACCCATCCCTGCGCATGCATCTCTCTTTAACAACAAATCACATCACTTTTCTTTTAAATCACCGTCTGTCTCGTACCTCGCCACATTTCAGAATTTCTTGGCACGTACATATCGCTCCATACGCTCGCCCACCCTCTACTGCACGTGTCCAGAGCTGGTCGGCAGAAACTGCAGGGCGGGGAAGACGGCCGGCGCTGCCGAGGTCGGCAGCAGACAGCCGCCCTGGGCAGCTGCAGCTGCCGCAGCTGCCGCCGCCGCCGACTGGATGTCCAGCAGCAGGCTGTGGTAGCTGCCGGCCGGCTTGTCTCCCTGTGACGTCATACTGGGATGATGACGTAACTGCTCCAGACGCAACTGGTTCTGCCGCTTCCATTTTGTTCTGAAGGTTTGGAAGGGACCGGGCAGGAGAAATTGTGTCAGCTGTGTGAGAGATGAGTGGCTGAGAAATAATGAAATATATTGTCATCTACTTATTCCTGGTTCCCTTGATGTGACTCTAAGAACGCGACAGTTGACATTACATTGTGCACATTCATCAAAGCGCTGGCTGGCAAAACAATTTTTATGTCGTAGACAATTATGGCTAGACAATTTTTATGTCGTAGTTTAAACTTTGCGTGTTATATGTCGAATGCATAGGTGCTCAAGACATTTTTTTATTTCATAAGAAATAAGAATTCACTGTGGCGCCGATGCTCCTGTAGCTCATAAGATGCTAATTCTATGAAGCAATCTTACCGTCTGTTCTGGTACCAGGTTTTGACCTGTGTCTCGGTGAGTGTGAGCGTGTCGGCCACCTCGGCTCGGTCGGCCACGGAGAGGTACTTTTGCACGCGGAACCTCCTCTCGAGGAAGGCCAGCTGACCGTGGCTGAACGCCGTCCGACGTCTGAGGCACAGAGGGTCAGGCGTGATGGACACAAATGGACATCTTACAGCGGAGAAAATGAGGGCGGTACGGCAAAAAAGTAGTACTATGATAGCAGAGAAAAATATAAAATTTGACGAGTAAAACGATGCGCAAAGAAATCAAACATGCACTGAGGTTATGGGCAGCTAATTTTTTGTTTATGTGTGCCTGTTCTCCCGTTTACTGACCTTCTCGGCCTCTTGGATTGGTGTTCACTGCAGGCAGGCTCGGGGCTTTGGTAGCCTCCTCGGATGCTGTCGGGTGAAGCTAGCGAGTGGCTCGAACACTTGGATGAGCCATATGCACCTGCGAGAAAGACATCAGTTAAGATGCACGAAATATTTCATAAATAACTGCACTTTTACGAATAAATAAAAGGACAAATATGACAACGGTGAGCACTTAACAGTTGATATTGTGATATTTGACGATGCATCGAAGAGTATTAGAGAGCGTACATGAGCATTCGATGGTTTTTGTTTCATGCATCATTAAAAGTCATGGGCGGTGAATCGGGAAACCATCAATCGTCTAGTTGGGCCTCCTGCGTATGACATCCAAGAGCGAAAGCTCAGCTCAAGAGACATTCCATTCGAAGCTAAGAGCATATTTGTGGAATGCTGGGTGTACTCCTATCGGACAAGTGTCGTCCTTATTCCAACGTATTGACTTTGCGGCATTTCCCAAAACTGCAGAGCTAATCCCAAATCAAAGCACATTCCACCCAAACAGCACTCATCGCCGTCCATCACTCACAAACCTCTATCAGAAGTGCCACTTCGGCGCCTCCGGCCCACCCCTCTCTCCCCTCCGCTCTCCCCCTCTGCCTGGGAACGGCTCGGCGCACCGCGGCCCCCGTCGACAAACTAGTTTGCCTCTCATTGAGGTGGTAATGACGGGTTAGCTGTCACAATCGACATCAGCGCCGGCGGCCCCAATCAAAACGGGCCCCCCACCGGCCCCCTCACGACTAATTGGTGCATAAATTGAGCGGAAAAGCGCGCAGCTGAAGCGCTGCTACAGTGTCGGTGCGGTGCGACCCGACGGGACTGGTGTCGGAGGAGCGGGGACGGGTGTCGGGACGGTGGGAGGTGGTCGGCGCGATGCCACCTTGGACGACGGATAAAGACGGCGCAGCGGGAGAAGGTGGCCTACACGGCGCACAGTACAACTGAGCAGATGTTTAACGGTGTTTAAATTTGAACGGTTGTCTAACTGGTTTTACTTCGTGGGAGGGATAGACCGGGTGGGTTGGAAAACGGCAAAGATCGCCACCTTGGTTCAGTCGGAAGGAGAGCGACACAGAAACCAGCGAACCTGCTCTTGTTTTCTGAGCGAACAGATCCATAATTCCTACAAGCATAACATTTATTGAAGGTTCTCTAAGTGTTTTCGGATCTTATGAGCTTCAAAGCCATTAAGTGTTCGTAGAATCATACGCTTTTTCTAGCCATGGGCTGTGCTGCTTTTTGACTCTGAGCAATCTTCTCCTCCATTTGTGTCGCTGACCATACAACACCCCATCTGCCGCACTAAAGCTCAGCCCCTCTGCGTCTCTCCGGAATCCCTCCTCTCCCCCTCCCCTCCCTGTCGCTCGCAGTGGACAGGGCTGATCTTGTTGTCTGGTGACGTCCCACTAACAGACCGGACAATCAGCACACACCAGCACCAATCGGCGCCTCGTTAGCACCAACGAGCTCCCGGACGCTCCCGGCACCTCGCGCCACCAAAAGCGAGCCGGTCGCGCGCCTAATGGCCGGGGGGAGGGGGGGGAGGGGGAGTGTCGCATCGGCTGATGAGGTGCGATCTTATGATGATAGGGACAATTACTGATGCGAAGAAATCAACAGACTGACCGCTGATGGTAATTTGGGAGATGCGGCTTCGTGAGTGACACCGTATTCGGTAGTGTGCCGAAGAGGAATTTTTGTTATGGCCGACATGCATGGGTGTTATTACTATGTACTTGGACTAACTAGAGCTAAGAATACATATAGGAAGGCTATACCAACAAGCAAAAGCACAACTTTAACCCAAAACTGTGCAAATGTGTAAATAGAATCTGAAGCATTAGAAAAAGATTTGCCTAAAAATGTGCGTTTATCATGTCAAAATAAGACATTCGTTCATAATTTTGGTTCTTGGTTTCAAGGAGCGAAAGCAGGGACTATACCCTACGTTCGCTCCTTCTTATCCTCGTTGTGTCATGGGGTATCTCGTTTACTGACTACGAGTTACGGAATGCGGATCATATTGTTCGTGTCTCAAAGTCCGTCTATAAGGCCTATCCCTAGAAGGATTTCGTGTAAACCATTGTATTGGACTAGCTTTAGCTGGAAAGCCATTGCCATTCAAGAAAGCCATTCAAGCTACAAAGATTTGAAGTCAGGTTTGTGTGCACAGCCTGGCTTAGGCGATCCTATTGCTTATGTCCCATATCCTAAAAATAAAGCAATGGTGAAAACATTTTATAAAAACGTAAAACACGGGAACGTGGATCCGGCCCTACACATTATACGAATGTGCACGTGAGCCATTCCAGCTGAATCATCGGAGCGAAATTAGGCAAAGGTGAAAGGAGAGTTACAGCCTACAGGCATGGCGTTTGAGATATAAAGCTACTTAAGACAAGTGTCGCGTAAAGACATATTTTGAAATATTTGTCTTTTGCTGAAAGGCGTGAAGAATTAAAGCCATAATGTTAAATGTGCGAGACCTGGCAGGCAGAAAAAAATGGCAAGGGATGAGATCTAAGCTGGCTAGCATGGAGGCCCTCGTTCCAAAAGCACTAATAACCTGAGAGTGCGGGTTGAATGTTTTATGCAATTCATAGCAAATATGAGGGAAGCACGAACGCCGTTTGGTTTGAACAAAAGGACTTCTTTGTTGTATAAGTACAGTGCATATGTAGTTTTGAAAAACGAGAAATAACACCAAGACAGGAACCTTCAGGAAGTTATGTCGCGGTATGCGCAATACACATTGCTTTCATTCCATGGTTATCATGTTCTGTGAATATCAAACGAGGATTAACAGATCATAATGGCTTGCAAATGACCAGCAGAGTGGGTTTGTCAGCTTTTCTGCTTCGTTGGGAAACGATGAAATTTTGTGATGACGATGATATGCGCATACCTATGCATTATTGAAATGAGCTGATGTGCTTCTTTATGAAGCTTATAGACGTTTGGTTAGAAATAGCTAGATTCGACTATGCTGTTGTTATGTGACATTGGGATAGTCCGGAAGCAACAGGTGAATAGCGAATTAATGAGCATTATTTAGCCGTAATAGTTAGAACGATGTCCTTGCAAAGTATGTTTATTTCACTTATTTCCTCATAAGACTGGTGTAATGGTAGGATTAACCAATTATACAGTTATAATTCCTTACATCCATTAAAACAGATCTGTAAAATTATTGTACACGTACCGAAATCCTCGTTTGCGCCATCCTCAGCGGAGGCGGCGGTCATGACGTCCTCTTCCTCCTGCTCCTCCTTCGCCTCATCTCTCCGACCCAGGATGTCTCTGATCAGGAACGACCGGTGCGGGTCGGCGCCACTCATCCTGGCTCCCAGCTCCTGACTCCTAGTTCCTGACACCTTATTCCAAACCCCGGCTTCTGGCACTGGTCTAATGAATAACTCCTGCTAAAGAATGTCAAGTCTGACTCGTCGAGTCTTCTGGCTTTTGCCTCCTGAATACAGCTTTGAGATTGGAACTTCCTAAGTCCAACACCCGGTTCCCGACTCGGACGCTGACTCCTGACCTCTGACACGTCTGTCAAACACCCATCAGTCACGGTGATGAATCGCGACACATTCCGCTGCCGCCGCCACCCAGGGACGGATAGGCCCCGCCCCCAGCTGTCGGCATCGCCTGCCCGGCCGCCGATTGGCTGGAGGCTCGCGGGCTGGAGCCTGATTGGCTGGCAGGGAATGGGTTTATGATGTGACGAAGGGGAAAAGGTGGAGACCACTTATCCTCCAAGGCTGATTTTGTGGAGAGAAATTGCCTTGGATGGCGCATCAGAATGCGTAAGGGCGTATTAGATGAAAATGGATTGTCTTTTATTCATAAAGGAAAGGAATGACAGAGCAAGCGAATGTATAAGAGAGTTAAGCGTTGTGAGGAAAATCATCATGATGATTATGAGCATACCTATGTGATTGACCGAATCCTCAATATAATTTGAATAAAAATGTCAAATTAGCAAAATTCGGGTATATTCGATCACAGATCTTTGTCAACCCTGACAAACATCTTGATCTGTGATCAAGATGTTTGTCAAGATGGGTTGAAAAAGATCTGTGATCGAATATACCCGAATTTTGCTAATTTGTCATTTTTATTCAGATTATATTAAGGATTCGGTCAATCAAATATGCTCATAAAGAGCAAGCGAATGGTTAAATGCCCTTAACAATTATATCGGATATACTACCCATTAAACGGACTATCCCACCTTTACATTAGGTTTGAGTTGAGATAGCCAAGTTTGCGGCGAGGTCCAGAAACCACTATCTATCTTGGTTGCAACCCCCGCGGCCTCGTGGTGTTGAAGAAATTCGTTCCCTTCATTTGAAAATGGGCCTTGCGCAAGGCCCAATCTCATAACCATTAACGGTAATCTGATGACGTCATTTGCCTTTTGAACGCCTGTTCAAGTGAAGTATCACTTGATTTACGAATAAGCCAATCGGAGACACTTTTGTTATTGTATGAGCCGAGTCATATTTGAGCGCAAATACCTATATTTGCTGCCAAATTTCCCCCACACTGACATGAAGTAAATCCTTCATTACGTCACAGATCTGATTTAAATGACGTCACGATGTAATATAAAAGTCGCAATATCTCAAAAAGTATACGATGAAAACACGTAAAAACTTGCAGAATTCGTCACAATATCATGAGTAACATTTCCGAATCCTAAACGGGACTTTTTTGAAGGTGGGATAGTCCCTTTAACCCGCGCGGGGCTGGGGGGGGTAAATTTTACCCCCTCTCGAATTTTTGCAATATCTCAAAAACGGCGGCGCGCAGCGCCGCCAAACTTTCAGTACCGTTTCTTACATCAATTTGACACGTTCCCTGAAAATTTGAGTAAAATCCGTCGGAAACTTTTTGAGAAATTGACGTTTTAGTGACGTCATGTTCGCCATTTTCGCCTCAAAAACGGCAAAATTTCAAACGCCGCTAACATCTTCATTTTTAAAGGAATCAAGACGTAACAAAAAAAGGTTATAAGTAATTCTACTTTGTCTATCAAATGGCTATCTCGTTTTTTTGAAAATTTTGGATTTTGGCCTAAAGTTTTTCCAAAAACTGACTTTTTTGGGAAAATAATTATAAAATCAAAAATTTTGAGTGTATCGAAAAAATCGGAATGTATGTCAGAGAAGTGGTCTATGTGCACCTACATACCAATTTTTAGAAGAATCGGTTTAAAAATGTGGGAGTTATTAAAAATTTTATGACGTCACGACAAACAAAAATTTTGAAAAATGATTTTTTGGGAAGTTTTAGACCTCGTGCGGAAACAAAAATAGCACCATTCGATACGCCGTGAAAAAAAACTGCAACAGATAGACACCTTTGTAGGCCTTAACAACCAACTTCAAAATTTGACCTCACTTTGTCTTCAGAGGTGGTCCATATCACTTATTGAGTGTGCCTATTGAATTCTATGAGTAAAATGACCCATAAAACATGTGTCGCACATGCCCTTTTCTATATTTTGTTTTTTGGTGACCTGACCTGACCTGACCTGACCTTGACCTTGACCTCTGAATGATATTGTATGCAATGAATATTGTCTTGGTAGCCAAGAACACGTTTTGGGCAATCAGTCTCAGTCCATGACTCCATTCTTCGGCAACTACGGTGCAAGGCCGATACTGTAGAAACTTGCAATTTGTACCCTTGACCTGACCTTGACCTTGACCTCAAACTGTAAATAAAGTACATGTTGTTAGTTGTTCGTGATGAGAGCTTTCGATTGGCGTTTGAATTTTCCAAATCGGACCATTAGTTCGGGAGATAACAGGGGGGTAAAATTTACCCCCCCCCCAGCCCCGCGCGTTCGGCTGGAGACCCCAGCCCCGCGCGGGTTAATGCGCGCTGGTTGAGAAGATGGCTGAAGTAAACTTAACGTAAATGTTAGTCGAAGCCTAGATGCTGCCACATATGAAAATTTTGTCACATGTTTTCGTTATGCTTAACCCTATAACTGGCGGTGGTGAGGGGGGGGGCGGCGATAGGATCTCAGCTGTAGTCTTTTTGTTTTGCTCTCGATGGAAAACCACTTGAGCAGGGATTTTGAAGTTTGGTGATTTTTTTTTTACTATTTATTGAAAACGTTGTGTCAAAATTGTCAGTTCCTAGCTTGCACATCTAGGAGTTTCCAGGACCAGTTCCTCGGGGACAGCTTTGGTCCAGCTTTGACTGCTCAGACATTTGCCGCTAAGCAGCGATTTACAAAGGTATCAAAGCAAATCAAATAAAGGTTTCATCAAAATCATTAGTGTTTTTGATAAGTGTCCTTATGATTTTGATAAATTATCAAAATCATAAGTGTCCAATCCAGGTAGTTCATGTTATCTATGTTTACACATATCGGCTCCGTCTACCATTGGTCGTTTCAGGGTGGTCGAATTATCGCATCGTCAAAGCACATCATCACTAGAATCACCGGACCACGGCCGGTGCCTTTCCTCCCAGTTGGATACTGTGTCGCAGCGCACGCTGCTCTGCGGCACAGCATCATTCAGGCGCAGTAGCTTACTGCCATCTAGCGAGCGGGATCAGAAGCTTGCGAGTGAGGAAAGCGCTGTGCGCCACTCCGCGACGCGATGCAGTGGTAAGTACCTTCTCGGTAGCGGCGGAACACCTTCAATCAAGGGGGGTACCGCCGACTGTTGGTCCCATTCTTTCCATGTAACGCCCATAGGACTAATGTTAAAATGTCAAAATCAAAGGGGGGCACGGTGCCCCGGTGCCCTCCCCGTTCCGCCGCCTATGGTGGTACTGACGTGATCCTTTGGCGGTTTGTTTTTTATTTAAATCATGCATGTCTCATTTCACGAAAGCATATAATTTGGTGCAATGCTCGCTATTACGGCTTGCTGTCTATTGCTAATTTAACCCAGAACATCTCGCGACTACTCAAACACGCTCAACAATGCAAATTGTAGTAGGTCATTGATACCTATAATAATCCGCTATAATAGTCCGTCCTTTATTACTATAAGCCTTTTCTTGCATGATAGTCACACAACTGGTCTTCGCCATGAAAGGTTGTTCCTAAGTGTCGTCTTCTGATAAATGCCTGTATAGGTAAGGTCTGGTTACATATTATTGTCATGTTGCAGTCTGTTTAAAGGGACCCTCCCACCTTAACATTAGATTTGAGTTGAAATAGCCAAAATGGGGTCCCTGGCTCACAATTACCGGATTCGACACTCACAACATCGAGAAATGCCTTAAATCGGAAATATTGAATTTCAAAATTGCAGCATTTTGATTCAGAGGGGCTAATGTATAGGAATACCCCTCTGAATGTGTGACGTCAGTGCAGATATCTAACGATTTTTAAATGTTTGACTAAAACATTTTGTAGCACGCGGTGGTATACGCTGCTTTCCGCGCAACAAGTGCCGCACTTTCAAATAAAGTCGCTAGGAACAGCGGAGATCATAAAAGTAAACAAAAGTAAAAGTCTAATATCTTGAAAACCGGTGAATATTTTTTCGGTGAAATTTGGTAGATATTCGTTTTCGCTCTTTCTGAACCGAGCGACATCACTTTCATGCCAATTCATAAACTTTTTTGAAGGTGGGAGAGTCCCTTTAAAGGAACTATCCTACCTTCTAAAATGTTGTTAAAACCAGTTAAATTGTGCCCGACTTTATAGGTTGGATGACCAGGAACACGGTTCTGGCATTTATTTTTCATTAAACATCTTAGGCTTCCCATATTCCAAACACAAACTTTCAAATATGTGACGTCACAGCCCAAAATTACCTCCTTCCCCAGGCCACATTACTGTCATAAAGCTGATTCTTTTTACTCTGTAGGCACCACAACAAAGTTCACAGACCAAGTTTTAAGCGATTTTTCAACGAAAAAACCCATTTAAATCAGCATGACTAAACGAGGTGACGTCACACTAACGGTCGCTCCATGTTGAAGATAGGGCCTTGCGCAAGGCCCATTTTCAAATGAAGGGAACGAATTTCTTCAACACCAAGAGGCCGCGGGGGTTGCAACCTAGATAGATAGTGGTTTCTGAACCTCGCCGCAAACTTGGCTATCTCAACTCAAACCCCATGTTAAAGGTGGGATAGTCCCTTTAAAGAACAGTATTGTTTATTCACTGGCTATTGCTTTCAGAGCCTCATTGCTAAATATTGCATGTGTCCGTGAATTGCTGTGCAATGTGCATGTCTGTTGTATATGTAGCTTGTAGCTAAGTGCCACAGCATATCATTTGTATTCATATATATGCCCCCTTCTGTTTCAGGAAAGGTATTGTTGTCTCAGGGTGTTTTCTTACAGCGTGCGCAGCGTGCGGCACAAACACTGCGCCTTTCTTTGACATCCGGCGCTTTCATTCACACCTAGTCATACATTCTAGAAATCTCCAGACATCAAAGAGAAAGCGTTGCATTGATGCACCTTTATTCGGGTCAAAGCTGCTGCGAGCGGCCGGCGCCGGCGGCGATTCGGCTGCGATTCCAGCCGCTCGGCTCTCTCTCCGGCTCTCGGTGCCCGCGGCCAACCGACGGCGCAAAACTCACAAAGCAATCTTGGCTCAATCTGGCCGGCGACAAGTGGCCCGGCCTCACATCGCGCATTGTTTAGCGGCGCGCACCGCCGGCGGTGGTCCACGCGACAGCCGCGGATTAAACAGGCCTCCGAACGGATAGCAAACAATCGGGCCAGCTTTGAATACAGATGAGGCGCACCGCCGCCGGCGCCACCAGCTGCAAATGAGGAGGGCGGCCTCTCTCAAAAGGGTGCCGCTCGGCTTGGTCTCGTCCCGGGACCGTGGAGCGTACAGTGGTCCCCACAGGAGTTCCGGCGGCGCCGCGGGCTATTTGGCTCAACAGACCGACTACGCTGGTCACCAGGGCCAGGGTACAACAATGATACACTCATTGGACAATGGGCAACAGCGAGGAACCAACAACAATCAAAGCATGGCGCTACAACACAGATCGGTGGGTTGGCTGGTCTACAATTATAGGTGCGGCTCACCAATTGTCAACGTTACCAACACATCAACATCTCATTAACAGAACACATCAGTAACTTCAACATGAGATTCAAGCTCCTTCCTTGTACTGTGCTAATTGCAATGATTGCATTAATAAGATTATTCCTTTCTTTAACAGCAATATCGGGTAGCCACTACAAGCGCGAAGCATTGCGTAATGTAAGTATTTTTGTTTGATCTGTTGATCTCTTACTCTCGCAACAGAACAGTTAGCACAGGAAATGGGTGCATGTGTATATGGGTATAGCATGTGATGCAATGCATACACTTAGGTACACACCAATTACACCAATAAGAACATTGATTAGCCATAAGTTAAAAAGCGTTTAAGCAAAAACGCTTAAATATTTGTGCAAAATAGCTGGTGCCGAACACGGTAACACAAACAGCATTGGAAACTCGACTAATCAGACCACTATCATTATGTAATGTTGCCCTCACACTGGTGGGATTTAGCTATTAATTAAAAATAACTATTCAGCATTAGATTCAAAAGAAAGTGTCAGCCATCATTAAAATACGAGTAAGTTCAACGCTACGAGCATTACGAGCATGAAACACTGATTATTTATGCTTTGCAGCAATATCAATGGTGCTTCTCAGCTCTACTTATAGTCGTAATATGCGACCAATTGGCATGTGTTAGATCGCAAAATTAATACAATCAACGTTTGATTGGTTGTTTCCGACGAACATGATAGTCATCAAATTGCCGACCGGGGATAATATAATCTGCATTACGTTGATTGACTCATCACACGGACTTCCTGATACGACATAGTCATTTTTACTGTGTCCCCACATTGCACACGAAAACACGTCAATACACTGCACATGTTTGTGCGTTCACACCAGGTACCGCCCTACGACATTTTAAATGCTCATTATCTAGCGGCATCGCTATCTTTCAAACGACCGTATATGGATATTCAATCATGGTTCGGTGCATGAATGTGCGCTCAGTAGCGGCGGAACACCTTCAATTAAGAGGGGGGGGGGGGCACTGCCGACTTGTTGTCCCGTTCTTTCCATGCAACGTTCATAGGGTTAATGTTAAAATGCCAAAATCAAAGGGGGCACGGTGCCCCGATGCCCTCCCCGTTCCGCCGCCTATGTGTGCGTTGTCTGCATGGAAGTGGAATGGAGGGTGAAAGGTCCCGAAAACGTGTACTCATGTGTTCATCATGACGTCAGCTAACAATTTAAATGCATGTATGCATCCCATTCTCCCCATCCAGCCAATCCTACGTATGCTCACATGCCCTGTAAAACGTCACACCACCTGATTCCAGCAGGACACGCCCTCGCCTGAAATCCCTACAGATAGCTCTCGCTGGGGTCGAAGTCGCCCGTGGCCGGGTTGCGCGGCCCCTTCGTGTAGGCGATGATGCCCAGGACACTGATCCCCGGTGGCACGGGACTGGCGTTTGGAGTGGTGGCTGGTTTTGCGTCCAGGCCATCCTGCTGACTGGGTACGGAGCTCTGCACCAGTGGTGCAGTACTGGGCACCAGTGGTGCCGGGCTCTGAACCAGTGGTACAGGACTGGACACCAGTGGTGTCGGACTCTGCACCACTGGTACGGGACTCTGCACCAATGGAACTGGACTAGGCTGGTTAGACACAGAATTGGCCGGCTTAGAAACCTGACTCGGCTGATTGCTCACAGGGCTGCACGGAGTTGTGGTTGGGAGCGACTGATTAGACAGCTGGCTGTTGACATTGGTCAGACTGGACTGATTGGTCAGCGGACTGGATTGGTTGGGCGCCGGGCTCGGCTGAAGGGGCTCCCGTTCGGATTCCGCTGCCGCCGACACTGGCTCGGGGCTCGGCGAGCTGCCCTTGCTGCCCTCGCCGCGACGAGGGACGACGATACTGAAACACGGTCCGTCCGGGGTCTCCGGCCGGGGCGAGGGGGACCGAGGTGTTGGACTGTATCGGCCACCGCCCTCCCCCGGTGGCGGAGTGGCGCAGACGACCGTCACCCTCGGTCGGCGGTCGGCGCTCGGACGGCGGTCGGCGCTCGGTCTTCGGTCGGCGCTCGGGCGGCGCGACGCGGACGGGCCGGCGCCCGAGCCACCCAGCGGCTGACCGGGGTCCAACATGCGAGTGGCGGCCACCAGGCCCAGGGCGGGGGCTGCTACCACAGCTCCGCCGGTGGTGCGAGCGGCGGCCCGCTCCTGCAGCTTCTGACGGAGCAGGCGGACCTTTTCCTCCTTCTGCCGAACGGAAAGTTAGATGAGTTAGATGTCGCTCGAGAGCTGAATGAAAGAGACTCCGATCGAAATTGGCATTGAATGCACACGGGGGAGAAGTGCGCAAGCTTAGATGATGAGGTATAATTAATATTACAACTTTTTGTTATTTTCAAGGCAAATATTGGAATCGACGGAGCATCTCTACTCACCTCGGCGATGAGTCTCTGCAGCTCGTCGTTTTCGGAGAGCAGTTTTCTGTAGCGTTCCTCCTCCTCTCGACTAGGCATCTCCTCAGCCGGGTCCACCCGCTCACGGGGATTACGGATCACGTCCATGATCTGCGAGCGCGCAGTGTAGCAGGTTAATGGCTGGGTTCCGAAATGACGTTCCCGCTATACCAAGCATAACATTTATAAAATGTGAGGATCCATTTACGGATTAGACGTTTCCGGCTTTTCATTTTGATAAGATATGGGCAGCTATAAATGTTCTAATGATTTCCAATAGGAGGTAAACAAATATTGATAAATTAGAAAAAAAATCAATCACATCCCTAATCGCTTGCGGCATGCGTCAGTTCGTACTTTTGGGAAGAAGATGAGCCCCATGGAGATGTAGCAACAGAAGACGATGGCCAGTGCGACGAAGGCGAAGCTGGCGTCCTGCTGGCTGCCGATAACCATGGAGACGGGTGCCGTGATCAGACACAGCACCACCACGTTGTAGATGCTCATGCCGACCAGTCGCGAGTCGTTGATCTCCTTCAGTTTGATACTGCGCGTCTCGTAGGCCAGGAAGAGACCGAAGATGAGCAGAAGACCCTTGAAGCCGTACAATATTCCTGCCGGAAGCGGGTTGGGAAGTTGAGGCATAGGTTTGAGTGACACATTCATGTGTTCATGTATGTCATCACGTGTTTTTATGCTTATCGATTCGGTTGGTGAGGCTAAGAATGCGAGACACGCTTCCCTCTTTACTGAACCAGTTGGTGGGATGACAGTTAAGAACTGCCGTTCACATTGCCCCTCTTACCGAGCCAGGTGGTGAGGTTGCGGCAGTAGCAATGCTCCAGCAGCGGCTTGAACTTGATGTCCTCCTGCGTGTTGTGCGGGTCCTCCAGCGGGAAGCTCTCGATGTCCCTGTACAGCGGGTCCATGATGTGCCAGGTGAGTAGGAAGGCCACGTCCACTAGCAGCAGGCAGCCCACCAGGATGTACAGACGCCGCGGCTGCACCTTTATCTGAGGGGAAAATCGCTTGATATGTGAACCTGACTGGAAAATATACGGACATAACAACGAGGAAGCACACCTAACCTTCTTGTAGAGACGAACCAAGGCAATACTTGTACATTTTGTGTTCCTTCACTATGGTGTTTGCTGAAGCAGCTAGATCGAGTCTTGACAGAAGCAAATAGACAATTAAGGAGAAATTAAGCACGTCGTTATTGTTCAAAGTGAATAGCATTGTTCGGCAACGTTCTGCACTGTAACATCACCACTAATATACCTGTGTTCTTACTGCCATGCGTGATCCACAACTCTTCTGCATTTCTCGGGATGTTTTTCTCACCTTCTCCTCGGCCTTAGTGGCGAACCGGTGCACGCGCCAGATCTTGGTGAACATGGCGCCGAAGCTGAGTGTGAAGCCGACGCTGAGCGTCCAGGTGCGCGCCTGACACACCACGTGGTAGTGGTGTTCGGGCACGAAGCGTCCGTCCAGGCCGAGCAGCACCACCGACAGCAGACAGAGGCAGATGCCGACCAGCGTCATGTCGTTACCCACCGGGTGAGAGTGGCGGATCAGCCTGCCGTCGGACAGGGGTATCGTGAAGCAGGTGAATAAGGTGCCCGATGTGCCGCTTTGGATGGTGACAGCAAAGACGAGTGGGCGAGGGAGGATTATTGCTTTGTCTCGATTGTCTGCTTTAGGCCGTCCTATATGTGGTCGCCGGTCCTGTTTATTTCTCGGTGACAGGCCGAATGGTCAGCAAATTACTGTCGGAGAATTTCATTACTTATTTGAGCTCTGCATAAATACGAAAGCAAAGAGTTGAACCTCACTAAGATGTGAACTGTCAGAAGCTACGTGTATTTTGCAAGAGGCTTTGAGGGCACCAAATCATTACCATGCAGCGACAATTAATAGGTACTCAGAGGCTGACACGCTCCGGGGTGAAATGGAGGATGGACTTCAACCTTCTCAGGAAAGCTTTCTTTCTCCAATACCTGTCTGCCGCACACGTAACCCCTAATCCCCTGACCTTCGTTCTCGGTAGATATAGTTGAAGCAGAGCAGACCGACTGCTACCGCCAGCCCGAGGAAGCTGAGGCAGCACATCAGGACGAACAGCGTCAGCGAGACGGTCCTCAGCGTCACCATCACGATCGTACGGTCCTGCGGCACCTTGTTACCTGTTGGCACACACGGATCACTATGACGACTGGCGGATGACGTATTGTGAACGAATCATACTGTAAGACAGCAAGGAAAAAGTAACACAAAAACAGAAAAAAGTGATGATTTGCGGTTGAATTTTGAGGGCCCGTGGGTGCGGTATCGGGCTCCAGTGCAGACTTGATAGAGTGGTGGTATATGCTATGTGCTACTGCTATCGGAGATTCGATAAGCACACTTACAGTTGAAATAATGGAAGCTACTTTTTTATCCCTCCATTACAGTTATTATCCGATCATAAAATCCCGTGATCTGAGCTAGTCCCATGCTCATGCATTAACTCAAATTCCCCCTATAAGACGATCCGTCCCGGATAATTTATTTGCTCACCGATCCAGCGGGCGTTGGCGATCTGGGTGAAGTTGTCCGTGTTGGTGTCGTAGAACCCGAGCCTGACGTAGTTGCCGTCCTGAAGCTGCTCAAACTGAGTGCGGGCCAGTCGGTCACCCTTCGTGCTGAACTTCACCAGACCCTGGGAGATGACGGCAGGGGTGGAGACGTCAAATGGGTTGGGGCTGGATAAGTTTATGGGTACAAATTTAAGATGACTACTGCAATTACTTTACGCAGTAAACAGTTTCTGCACGTAGAAACATTGCTAAAAAACGGAAATGCGAAAGCCCGTTACACTTCTCTTTCAACATTGAGCAAATAATTACAATTATTTATTTTAAAATCTTTTCATTTCTTTAAAAGTTATAATGATATAAGAATACTTTTCTCCATTTTTTAAACGTTCAATATAGGCGAAGCCAAAAGTACAGCATGCAGAAGAAGAAAATGTCGCTGTTACCGAAATTCCTTGGAATGAAGTTTGCTCCATTGCGGTTTTTATGGCGTCAGCGATTTCCGTGTGGGTGTAAGTGAAGTTCTCCAGATAAAGGCCTCGCGTTTGCAAGTTTGCCGCTGTCTTGTTTAGTGCTGCAAGAAAAGGCAGAAGAGGTTAAACCGAGCTCAATGGCCCCGGGAAAACGCTTATCTCCTGTCATACCGAGCCAAATGACCCAGAGGGCGTCCCTGTCTTACCGATCACAATGGCCCAGAGGGCATCTGTCTGTCTCTTACCGAGCGCGATGGCCCAGATGGCGTCGTAGGCCAGCGGCGCCTCCTGGTAGCCGTCCGGGATTCGGTCAGGACTTTTCAGCTTTGCGTTCAAACGCTGCTCGAACTGGCCAGCAGTCTGAGGGTGGGGAAGGTTATTGTGGCTCATACAGGCCTGCATTTGGAAAGCGAGGGAGCATTAGAGCAGCCGTTATGATCCAGTATTTTTCCTCTTATCGAACAAGACATTAAAGTGATATTTCTTGTTCGGAAGCAAGTCCATTGTCGATTTGGGAACGTTTCTGTTGATAGTGATCTGAAAACAACGAAATTATTGTAAACAATAAGTGTCCGGAAAAAGTGGGACCGATGTGTATTTACCGTTTTAAAAATGGTATAAACACATATGCCACTTTCATATGCGGTATTTTTTTTTATAGAAACAGTAGTGCTGTTGGACGTCTCGTATTTACCATTCCGGAGACGGTGGTGCTGTTGTATTTACCATTCCGGAGATGGTGGTGCTGTTGTATTTACCATTCCGGAGATGGTGGTGCTGTTGTATTTACCATTCCGGAGATGGTGGTGCTGTTGTATTTACCATTCCGGAGACGGTGGTGCTGTTGTCCTGGTCCCACATGAGCGCCTCGGTGGTGATGTGACCCTCAGCAGCCTCAGCCATCTGCTCGCGCGTGCAGTTGACGCCCTCTTCCTTCAGATTCACCTCGAACCAGTTGTCCTCGTACCAGCCTGGGGCGAGAAACGAGCCGATTAGCTGTGGACTGTGTGAAGCCATTGTGTTGTCATCGGTTGCGAGGCGTCATGAAATCGTCATAATTTTATCGCAGCTTATCATTAGGATCCCCTTTTAAAATTTAAACCACTTTTTATCGGTGTGCAGCTGGAATAATAATAAAACAGTTAGGTAAAGCTATTTACAGCTATTTACTCATAATTTAAAATCACCTATCAATCACCACCTTAAAAACACCTATTAGCAATGTTTCGTCGCGCTATCACAAGCTCAGTCTTCAGCTTTCTTGATACGGAAGTCCACCGTGAATCATTACGTCCCGTATAGACGCCACCATGGCCACGCTTAGTTAGCGTCTCTTACCAATGAAGAGCCAAACGTAGCTTTTGCCGTACATTTTCTGCTTGTAGATCTCACATAAAACGCGCCTCGCAGCTGCTACGTAGAAAAGCCCGACCACAATTCTGAAATTGATAGGGTTCCAATGTTGAATACCATAATAGGTGGCTTATTTTGTTGCCCCTACGAACGAATCGCCATCAAACCACTATCATTTGCGAGACTCCTGTTTTTCGGGGGTAATTCATCGGTGTCAGATTAGGTATTCAGATACATATTTGACATGATGTTATTTGTATGTAACAATTGTAGGAATGAAGCTGTGGATTCTGCTTGATTGATGCGTGCAATAAACAAAAATTGATAACGTAAATTATTTTACATTGATTGAATCTTAGTAAATAGAATGTGCATTTACTCAACTGTGTCTGTAATTACCTGGCATCCGGCCGACGAAGGTTTTTTACCGACTCAGAAGGGTCGGTGAGGAAACTTTGCCGCGTCAGGATTTCGATGCCGGCCTGTTTGCACCGTTCCTCCATGTCTTTAACCGTCTGAAAGGCAATACAATGGGTGAATCGTAAGTCATTGAGCTCTAATACAAAAGTTCGAAGTAAACACGATTAGAGCATTTCATACTCTGAAGGTAGATGCATCAACTCTTAAGCACTTTGATTTTTTTACTCATTTCACATACCATCAACAGATAATTTTAGATCTCTTATAAGTGTTTTTTTCTTGCCAGGTCTATCGTCCCATACCGATATGAAGACTTCCTCTGCCTGCTGGAGGATGGCGATCCGCGTCCAGCCGTACAGCTGGAACAGCTTGATGCGCGTCGGGTTGTGCACCGTGGCAGAGGGGTGGGTGCGGAAGAAGGTCGGGAACCGCTTCCGGTCCGACAGAGCCGGAGAGCTGCTCCCGTACGACAGCTGAAAACGTAACAAGCATGGTTTACCAACCGAGAAGATGACCCGACGTAAGATGGAAAACGTTTATTGGATGAGCTTGTAAACTGTGCATGGCTGAGCAGGGAGAAATGGAAAACGTTGCCACCAAACTTTGAAGATATTTGATAAAAAAAGACAATATGAACAGCTCCACGAACTTAGTACAGTGTTAATTCGAAGCGTTAGAAGTAGACAGAGACAAGACCTCGTAAACAAGACGGGCAAAATGCGAGCCTTGAACTGACCACCATGAGGTTCCACATGCGCGCCGCCTCGGCGATGGTGGTGCAGACGGTCGAGCAGCCGCCGATCAGCATTAACTTCTGCGGCTTGTTGTACAGCAGGTCGTACATCACGCGGGCACCCAGGCCCGGCTCACACTGACGGTGAACGACAGACGATCATGGGACTGAGCAGTGATACAATTGCTGCTTTGAATGGAAAGATAAAGTGCGTACTTTGAACGTTTATTGGCCCGAGCATGAGCTTAGAATAACGTATGACGTGTCTTATGAAGGAATAATTAGGATAGTTTGACCTGGCTCCATTAATATCGCCGATAACTTTCTCTCACCAAGTAAACAACGTTCTAACGCTAGATTTCTACTTTGAGATTTTTAGCGTCCCTCGGCTTATGAAACACCCCTGTGTGTCTCCAGTACACTGTCCGCTTACCTTGCTGTCGTTCCAGGTCATGTGTAAAATGTACCCCGACAGGAGGTCCTCCCGGGCGTTGACATCCTCCTCGGCCATCTGAGCCGCCGGCAGACATGCCTGTCGAGCGAGCACACAGGCATGATTGATGTTAGATATCTGTTGCATTACTGGTTGTCTGATGAAGTAGTCAGTTAAAAGTAACGCCATGCCCATTGCCCAAGACTAAAACGTTAAACGTTTCTTATTTATCGAGCATCATGTTTTAGATACTTGTCCACGCCTGACAAGATAACAGTTGCACGCACAAGGGTTCATCCCCGCGGGGCGCTGGGTCCAAAACTTTTGTGAAAATAAAACCAGAAATCATTTGAAGAATTGAGGCTTGAGAGCGGGTGGCTCAGACTCACGACAACAAGGCATGAAATGAAAAAAGGGCCAAGTCTGAGCTCGTTGGCGAGTGGGTTGATCTTGTGAAAGTTGAAACACACGAGTCATGAGCTCACCTGTCCCCCCTGCCATCCCTCCGTTCCGGAGATGGGAAATATTCCGGCCAGGTTCAGGGTTTTCTTCTCCGGGACGAGCTGCTGGGAGCTGACCCCTCCCCGGCTGATCTCGGCTGACACGGTGTTCAGTAGCAGCGTGATTACGGTCACGGTGAGGCCCACGAGCACGGCGAGACGCACCGCGCACCGGCGCATCTGAAACCGACAATAAACGTCAACGTGCTGTCACGAAGAGCTTCAATCACATAGCAAGGGAGAGTGACTGCAGATAGGTGACAATAGCCATGCCTGCCTCGTTAAACCTTCTGGAGTGAAGTCAATCTTTTCATTATTCTAATCTAATGTAATTATTACCTATAAGTAAACCAGCCTTCACTTTCGACCATCACATCTCTTCAGACTTCAATGCAGCATTGCAGTATCATTTTGCACTCACATGACACTTCCCATCTCATCTATAGACACAAGCAACGAGCGACACACGACACTTCCTGGTCATCGCGCCTCTCGGCGTCGCCTCGTACCCCCTGTTCCTCCCCTCCCCCACCGCCGCCGCCGCCGCCGAGGCATCGCCCGAGGCGAGTTACCATCTCATGTTCTCCACCAATCAGCGTTGAGTATCAGCTGGCTCCAGACGACCGCATCTCATGATCGTGCGTAGACGAGTGACAGCAGTCGCAATCACTCGATTGCTGAGCAGTGGTGACTGGTCAGTGGACGCTCCCTATTGGACTAGTGCAGTGCTTTGGTGAGTGGTGGGTGTGGATCTTATCTTAGTGAATTGTGAAGGTTGGTGACAGTGTGATGAATATATAGTGATAATCTTCCGCTCGGGATTTTCACGAACATCATGTTTTGAATTCGGTGATGATGCGACGGCAACAGCCAACAAGCAATCACTCTGGACCATCTCTGAACCCTTGGCCGAGTTCCGAGACGAGCCACGGGTCGACAATTGGATTCTTCACTTCAGCGTCTTCATCTTGGTAACGTACCGAAAGGCGTCAGCCTTCCTGCATGCTACATTGACATCCTGCCTGCATGGTAACTATGTTCTCAGTGTTTCGGTTTGGGTTAGATTGAAAGAGAAAGAGAGAAGGAGAGAGAGAGAGAGAGAGAGAGAGAGAGAGAGAGAGAGAGAGAGAGAGAGAGGGAGAGAGGGAGAGAGGGACAGGGAGAGAGAGAGAGAGGGAGAGGAAGACAGAGAGAGGAGTGAGGACTGAAAGACATTCACAGAGACAAAGGAAGAAGGCCAAGGAGAGATAGAGGGACTGGGGAGAGCTCTTCCTAGTCCATCTCCCTTTCCGAGGAGAGGAGAGGAGAGGAGAGGAGAGGAGAGGAGAGGAGAGGAGAGGAGAGGAGAGGAGAGGAGAGGAGAGGAGAGGAGAGGAGAGGAGAGGAGAGGAGAGGAGAGGAGAGGAGATTAATTCCCATGTGTGAGAGCAACAATCAATTTGAAATAAATACCAAATTCGTGATCGAGTGTCGAGGCTTTTGATATTTTCATAACGTTGGCAAATTCCAGAATGGTTTTCACACACATAACATGAAATAAAGCAAAATATCTGACCCAGTTTTGACAGTTGACACTGAGATCCATGGTCAATTGACGTTGGACAGGAAAAACTGGCATCTCGGTACTTTCTAACCATCAGTACGTATTCAAATAATGTCTTTCTTGTCGATATTGCGGATCCGTTATTTGTTAAAAATATGGTGGACTTGAAGTTATTTCTGTTTAGATGTCGTAACCATCATGACATGTCATGACCCGAGCAATTTGCTTTCACCTTAACCCTCGCCCGTATAGAAGGGGGTCGAACGGACCCCCTCCCCTCGGTTTTTCACGAATAACTCGCGTAAAAAGCGGCCGATCTTGACGAAACTTTCAGTACCCTCGCGTTAATCAATTCTACACCTCTCCTAAAAGTAATGACCCTGATCCAAATGACCTTTGACCTGTGACCTACTGTTCGAGACCATGTTCGGCCGGAATCGCGATTCGGTGTGCACGTGTCGTGTCGGCTCGCATTAGCCGCGCGTTTGCAGTCTTTTCGTGGTTTCAAGCGTTCAAACATAAGCAGTTTTGGTACCTTCGTAATATGTTACGAAGCTGTCAGAGGCGGTTGACACCTACTACGAATACCCGACAGGACCCCTACTGGTTGACCTGACCTGACCCGACCTCGCCTAAATGCATGAAGACATCATCTGTGATCAAAACTAACATGATATTCGTGATCAGTACCTGCAGGAAACCTCCATAGCAGCAACGCCTTACGACGTTCTAACAGGTCCCGATTTTTCCGACTTTTGAGTCATTGACCTGACCTTGAAGGTCAATCGATGACCTAGGACCTTAAAAGTGGGTGTTGTCGGCTTTCTCTCGTCACGGGCAACACGCTCGTTTTTTCCGCGAAGCTCTATGCTCGATCAGGGGCGAAACGGCAGGGGGGGGGGGTTCCAACGGCCCCCCCCCGCCCTTTTACGTTCACGGCTGGCAAAACACCAATACGGGCGAGGGTTAAGATAGGCAAGCGATGCCTCAGCCCTTAAAATGTTGGCTTAATCATTTCAGCATGATCTGTCAAACTGTATGAGATGCATTGCCTTCTACGTAAAAAAAAACAAAGTTGTAGGCTGGACCAACCTTTCTGCACGAGTGAGGGCTATGCTTTTACTGCAAAGTGAAACTCCTCGGTATTTTTCTAGAAGATAAAACGAGTTCATAATGGGTCAGCGACTTTGTGTAACATGCACAAGAACACTGTTGCAGTGTGGCCAGAAAAGAAGCACCAGTTGCTATGCGATGAGTTGTGTCAAATCGCAAACTCAAATCGCAAAAGAAAAGAATGCAAGGTGAAAGCTTCCTTATCCTGTCATAAACGGTCGAGACGTAACGTGCTGTTGGTTCTCACCGAGATCTATGGAAACATATCTCTTTGTAGCCATCTGTTGAATTTGTCTTCTCCAATAAAATGTTAGTTGAATTAGGCGTTATGAGAAGCCACGGAACTTACAGCATTGATTGGGCCTTCCTCGTAATACCACGAAATGAACAGCGGATAAAGGATACCAATTTGATAGTAATTAACCTACAAAACACCTGGGAGTCGATACTACTTTACGTAGTCGTGACGTCATGGTAAGGTCGAGCAAGCGGATTGCAGAAGGACGAATGAAAAGGCAGAGCAGTTGTGGGTCGGCTATCGGATTTGGGAAAATGTGAAGCGAAGGGACTGCTAGAAACAAAACCAATAAACATGAACCGGTTCTCTTACCTTGTGTGCAGAGGGCCGGTCGCCCCCGGTCGCACTCGGCGCAGACCAGACCGCGAGACTCGACGTCGACCTCCCAATGTGCGACCATCGATTTGCTAGTTCCAGCTGTGGCCGCTAGGTGCCGGCGCCCCCTGGCGGTGTACCGTTTGCTCAGGAGCAATCGCAACCAGAAACAATAACATTGGTGTTTCATCGTTTAACGATCGATGATTTCCTTCTGGTCAGTCTTTCTGACAGACTTTACCCTCACCTGACCGATCGGTTTTCTCCAAGCCATATGCGTTGGGGGGAGGGGGAGAGGGGATACCGTACCGGTTCGCCGTGTCGCTCCTAGTTCACTTGGGAGGTCGCGGAAACAACGAGCGAGTGTCCGAATACGAGACGCAGCAAGTTGTGCCCCGTTCCAGGGTGACATTTGAGGTCAGCTCAACGGCCTGTAGGGTCGGAGTATGGTGTTAGATAAAATGAAGTCATTTTGCAGACACTTGATTCGACAGCTTTTCTGGGTTCCTCGATAGATTTCCCGACTCAATTGCTCAATGTGACCAGGAGCTCATGACGAAAAGTGTGTTGACCTCAAAGGACCTTGGCAACTTGGTGTATGACGTCACGCAAGGTGTAAAACTGTAAATTTCAAAAAGTAATTTAACGTCGAACCTTGAAAGCATGATACGAAATTGAGGTAGGTTCCAAATGCTTGAGATAGCTTGTGATTATTCCGGCTACGCTGAATAAGCAGTTTCAATATCTCCCCATGGAGTCATAGACTTCAATAGTGAGTTGACGTTGTGGCCTGATTTTAAGTGACCTTTATGACAAATCCGAGATATACACAAGCTGTAACGGCCCAGGAGTTTGTTCCAGAATTTTGAGCATCGTATTTGGTTACATCTGATTTTCTTATAAAAAAAAACTAAGAGAGCTAGAAGACACATAAAAAGCATTTGCTAGCTTGCTTTAAGATTTTTCATAGCTACATATATGGGTACTTTTTATCAGGTCTTCGCTGAGGACACTGAAGGCGACCAATGATATAATTATCTCGTAAATTTTCCCGATTTTGCATTTATAAACGTTCAAATATTTCAAGTTCGCACACCAAAAGAGCTACAGCGTCGAGGGAAATCGCATTCGATAGCTCTTTCGAAGCTCTTTCGTCAGTATGCCCTATTATTTAACCTCAGGTCACCGGTTTGACCTACATACGGAGAGTACGGCAGAGTACACAGAGCGATTGTACTTGCTGGCGTCCCGAGTTGTACTTGCTATTGTACTGGCGTCCCGAGTTAAGTGCTCCGGTTTCTCTTACGTCAGTCAAGGTGACATTGATTGAACTGATTGTAATGAATGTGTACAATATTTGGAATGAGCTGAGAGTCTGAGATTAAAGCGAAAACTATCCATTTACCAAAATAAAGGGATGTTGTCGGAATAACTTTTCCGCAACAGTTTTGGTGTGAATCATTGTGTACTATTTAATTAAACATCATCGTATTGTTCTCGTCGATTCGCTTCGAAAGAACTAGCCTAAGTTAACCTAAAAAGTTCAGCTTAAAAAAATATACCAGTTCAAAGTCATGGCCTGACCTAAAAAAATATATGATGTTGCTTATCAATTTATTTTTCTATTTATTTGTTGCACATCCTTCCATGCAGGCATAGCTATTTCAGGATGGCACATGATCAGGGAACCACTATGTACATTGTACAATAATGCACATGCTTTTTCCTCGAGCCGCGTTCAAGTTCACTAAAGAGGAGAAAAGAAAAACAGGACCAAGGCAACGCAACACCTTAGGCCACTTCAACATCAAACTATACATTTCGTGGTGGCCTGATCGCCCGCTTAAAAGCAAATATGCTGGACATGCTTAGGATCTCTCGGGGCAGCCGGTTCCATGCCGAGCCAGCCCTGTACAAGAAGTGTTTTTGAGTGGCAATAAGCTGCACTTTCGGAAGGTGCACCTGCTCTGTATCTGCCAGGCGCGTGTCACGAGTCGCCACATCACATCGACGTATGGACAATAATTTGGACATGTCTTGCACCACGACTGGTGCATGGGGATCGTAGATAGCGCGGTGCACCTTCAGTTAATCACGCTCCTCCACTCCAGCTCGCCAATCCGTGACTGTGGACCGACTTAAGAACTGGTGTGATGTGATCACGGCGCTTCGAACCGGTCACGAAACGAGCCGCAAAGTTAATCATTTTTTTTTTTTGCAATCGCTTTAGTTATTTGTCGGCAGCTCCGCCCCAAACTGGTAAGCAGTAGATGATTCGAGAGAAGATATGAGCTTTGATAATGGTAAGCAGGGCCCCGGTAGTGAAGCTGCGCCTGAATCTGTAAAGCGAAATCAGTATGCTGTAGCAACGGCGCACAACTGATGAGATGTGTTGATTAGAGAAGTCTGTGGTTGATTCCATATTGATTCCAATTGTTCCGTATTGATGACCTTCACACATTTCAGATGTTTTCATCGCTCTACCATATCTCCATCCAGTGTTCGCCACGGGCCCCAAAATCCCCAGCCCAGCCCGGCCCGGGCCCATGGGTTCAGAGCCCGGCCCAGCCCGTAGCCCGCTCTTGGCAAATATGTCCAAGCCCAGCCCGGCCCGGCCCGTCAAAAATAGCAATCTAGTTATTGTCTTAGTCCATTGCTATAATAAGCATGATTGATTACACTATTTTGAGAACAATTCAAATTGCATGAATATTAACATGGCAATCATGACTCCCTTCTTTTCAATAAATATACTCATTTCAAGTACCTATGGCACAAATTTTAACAGTAACAGCAAGCACCTCAGTCAATTAGGTCATGATTACACACCTATAAAAAGTGTACATGATTATATTAACTACATTATATGAGTAAAGTTATCTTGCAAGCTGATGTGTGTGAACATTATCATGCATAATTGGTGACTCTAATGCATACTTGAAGGAAGTATTTGCAACTTACTCTATACTTCCCAGCACTTACCAGCAGAAAAAAGCTTGACTTATGGGAATTGATGAATCTGTCTGGGATTGACCTTGCTGTTAAATTCACTCCATTGATGCTGCAATATCAAAAGCCTGAGAAAGCATACAAAATAGGTGACACTAGCTTTAGCACTGTCTTCCAAAAAAGAAGAAGAGAAAATCCATCCATTTATCAGTAAAACTGATTTAATCTATTTTCAATTCATGCCCACGTGTCAACCGAATCTCTGTGGACCAGTGATGCCATCCACATTTTTGCTCCATCCCAAGATCTCGACCAGAATTTCCCAAGATTCTCGTCTCGAATCCCAAGAATACCCATCGCATATCCTTAGGAGTACCCCAAGTAAATCCATAGCTTATTTTGGACATATTAGTGTGTTAAGTATTCAACTTTCTCTTCTTCGGGTCCACCCTTGTCCTTATTGGCGTCTTTACAGCAGCTAATGTACAGGTCTCGCGGGTTTTAGCGGTAGGTTTTGCACCTAGAAAATTTAGTGTACTTCAGGCTATATCTTCGTCGTCTTAAGCTTTTAAGTGTTGAAGATGCGATCGACTTGTTGGGTAACAAGCCGGCCATGATCGTGTAAAATGGCTTCATCGTAGATCGATTAGTTTCTGAGATATAACCGGAAATGTAAAAGTGCAAAACCTACCGCTTAATCTCGCGAGACCTGTACCTAGAGGCCGGGGGGAGGGGAGGGGGAGGGGGTCGATCGGACTCCTACAGCTGATCGGTTCCTGACCGAGTATAAGAGCTTCACGAAAAATGAAGATGCTGGCCTAGACAACATGAAGCCGGTTGTATCTGCTGACTGCTATTATGGTCAGGTCATTCGTCGACCGTCAATGGTGGGTCAAGGACCCAAAACACAAAGTTCGAATCTGTTTAGAACTTCTTGGAAACGAAGTCTGTGGCATTTTGGATTTATTTCGAAATTTGTCTCGTGACACATTTGGAGAAGCTAGGGTCAGGTGAGGTCAGGCTGATTTTTAGTGTTTTCCACCACTGAGTTTTGAAATACCTATGGGCTCCAAAACAAGCTCTTAAAAGCTTATGTGAATCCCGAAATCGAAAAGCCTATGCTGTAAATCTGCACGTAAGCCAGTGCCCGCTGGGGCCCATGAATTTTCAAGCCGACGATGGCGAGGGGGTCTAAACGAGGACCTAACTCGTCCCCTGGCAGTGGCGCAGCCAGGGGGGGTGAAAGGGGTGAGATCTCACCCCCGTCTCTTATCCTAGGGGCCCACCGTCGATTCGAACTGTAACGTTATGCAGCCTGACATTTTTTTATCATAATGTCAAGGTCCGTCATAGGACTGAAAAATAGTTTTCAGGCCTGATAGCCCCCCCCCCCTTAGGATTTATAGTCCCATTTTATGATTTAAGAGGGTACATCCAACCGATTGAACTAATCCAAGGCCTAGGAGGGCCCGTTCCATGGCATGAGAGGGCCATTTCAGGCCTGAGAGGGCCCATGTCAGGTCTGTGAGGGCCCATTTCAGGCCTGAAGGGGCCCATTTGAACCTTGAGAGGGCCCATTTCAGGCCCTAGAGGGCCTGTTTGAGGCCTGAGAGGGGCCATTTCAGGCCTGAGAGGGCCCATTTGATGCCTGTGAGGGCCCATTTCAGGCCTGAAGGGGTCCATTTCAGGACCTAGAGGGCCCATTTCAGGCCCTAGAGGACCTATTTGAGGCCTGAGAGGGGCCCATTTCAGGCCTGAGAGGGCCCATTTGATGCTGTGAGGGCCCATTTTAGGCCTGAAGGGATCCTTTTCAGGCCCTAAAGGGCATGTTTGAGGCCTGATAGGGGCCCATTTCAGGCCTGAGGGGGCCATTTCAAGCTTGAGAGGGCCCATTTCATGCCCTAGAGGGCCTGTTTGAGGCTAGAGAGGGCCCGTTTGAGGCCAGAGAGGGCCCGTTTGAGGGCTGAGAGGGGCCCATTTCAGGCATAAGAGGCAACATTTCAGACCTGAGAGGGCCCAGTTACGGTATGAGGGGGGCCTTTTTCGACATGATAGGGACCATTTCCGGGCTGAGGGGGCCCATTTCAGGTCTGAGAGGGCTAATGTCAGGCCTGAGAGGGCCCAT